TCCTGTTCTTCCCCTTCCCCTCCTCCTCCTGCCCCCTTCCTCCGCCCCCTCCCCCTCTTCCTTCTCCTCTTCCTCCCCCTTCCCCTCCTGCCCCTCTTCCTCCTCCTCCTCTTCTCCCTCCCCCTTCCTCTTCCTCTTTTCTCTCCTCTTCCTCCCTTCCTTCTGCTCCCCTTCTTCCTCCTGTTCTTCCCCTCCTCCTCCTGCCCCCTTCCTCCGCCCCCTCCCCCCTCTTCCTTCTCCTCTTCCTCTTCCTCCCCTCCATCTTCCTCCTCTAGCTGACAAAATTATTTCTGCAAGGTGGCTGAGCGAAGCCTTCCTCCTCCTCCTCCTCCCCCCCCCCGCCATTGCTGCTGCTGCCGCCAAGATCAATTCTGCGAAGCGCCCGGGCTAAGCCTCCTCCTCCTCCCCCCGCCCTCCTCCTCAACCCCCCCTCGCAGCTCCCACCAGCCACGGAAACTTGCGACCTGACCCCGGGCAGGAACCGCTCCCGGAGCTGAAGTCAGGGCTGGCGCCGGGCCGACTCTCGATTTAGCCTCCTCTCCGCCGTGGCGGGTCTTTCCCGGAGCAGGGCGGCCTTTCCAGCGGGGAGCGCCGGGAGCCTCGCAGGGGGTTTGATTCGCACCTGGGCAAGCCGAGGAGGAGGAGGAGGAGGGAGGAGGAGGAGAAAGCGAGGGGAAGGACCGTGGAGTCCCTGGTGCTCTCTGAGCTGGGTGGTTTTCTTGCAGACCTTTCATGACCCAACGAGGGAACATCATCAGGGCTGGAAGGGAGGGAGGTTTGGGAGGAGGAGGAGGAGGAAGAAGAAGAAGAGGAGGAGGAGAAGAAGAAGAGGAGGAAGGAGAACAGGAGGAGGAGGAGGAAGAAGAAGAAGGTGAAGGAGGAGGAGGAAGAAGAAAAAGAAGAGAGGAGGAAGAAGGAGGAGGGAGAAGGAAAAGAAGAGAAGGAAGAAGAAGGTGGAGGAGGAAGAAGAAGAAAAAGAAGAAGAGAGGAGGAGGAAGAAGAAGGAGGAGGAAGAGAAGAAGAAGAAGGTGAAGGAGGAGGAGGAGGAAGAAGAAGAAGAGAGGAGGAAGGAGAAGGAGGAGGGAGAAGGAGAAGAGGAGGAGGAGGAAGAAGGTGGAAGAGGAAGAAGAGGAGGAGGAGGAGGAGGAGAAGAAGAAAAAGAAGAAGAGAGGAGGAAGAAGAAGGTGAAGGAGGAGGAGGAAGAAGAAAAAGAAGAGAGGAGGAAGGAGGAGGGAGAAGAAGAGGAGAAGGAAGAAGAAGGTGGAGGAGGAAGAAGAAAAAGAAGAAGAGAGAAGGAGGAAGAGAAGAAGAAGGAGAAGGAGAAGAAGAAGAAGAAGAAGAAGAAGAAGAAGAAGAAGAAGAAGAAGAAGAAGAAGAAGAAGAAGAAGAAGAAGAAGAAGAAGAAGAAAGAAGGGGGGGGGTCCTTGGTGCTCTCTGAGCTTGGTGGTGTTCTTGCAAACATTTCATGACCCAATGAGGGAACATCATCATGGCTAGAAGAGAGAGGGCGTTGTGGAGGAGGAAGAGAAGGAGATGAGATCCTTGCCAAACGGACAGCCCAAACGTTTCAGCCCAGGAAACGGGGGTGGATTGGCAGCCAGGTTGCAAAACTTGGTTTGTGATCTCTTCAAGAAGCCATCACTGCAGGTCCAGCCTGCCCAGTGACTTGTTTCTCCCTTAGCACTTTCCACCATCATCGTATCCGCAGCAGAACATCCAGATTCAGCCAGAGTTTCGTTCCATACAGCATTAACCTTGCGAACTCTCAAGCTTCCTCCTTCCGTTACATATTCAAGATGGACAGTGTTTAATATTTATTTGCTACGTATATGTAGGGGTGTGGGTCTATACATACGTTGTTCATAGTATGTTTAGGTGTGTGTCATGTATGTGTTGCACTTAGAGAGCGGGCAACTCAATTCCATTTTTGATGTGTGCCGTTGTGCCCACGGTATAAAAATGACAATAAAGGATATCTTATCTTATCTTATCTTACTAAAGCAGTGGTTCTCAACCTTTTTAATGCCGCGACCCCCAACTGATCGTAAGTCGAGGACTACTCAACCGGTCGTAAGTCGAGGACTACTCAACTGGTGCAGCACCGTTTGCAGAATGGGACTATTGGCGGGCTCAGCAGGGCAGAGACAGCCTGGACGATTCTGATTGGCTTTTGAAAGCCAATAGAATTAGGCTCTATTCAAGAGAGTCTATTCTATTGGCTTTCAAAAGCCAATAGAATAAAAGGGAGGAGCACAGCTAAGGAAAAGGGGGAAAAAATGGCGGACTGCGTTCTTTGGCGACCCCCGTGAAATGGTCGTTCGACCCCAAATGGGGTCCCGACCCACAGGTTGAGAACCGCTGTACCAAAGCCTTGTGGAGCTACAGTAATGGCTGGATGATGTGCTACATCAGTGGTTTCCAAACTTGGCCTCTTTCAGATGGATGGACTTCAACTCCCAGGATTCCTCAGCCAGCCAAGGCCAGGGAATTCTGGGAGTCAAAGTCCACCCCTCTTAAAGCACGCTGACTGGGGAATTCAGAGTTGAAATATTGGGACTCAATTGTCGTCATAACTTGAGGACTATCCCTACACTCATCCTCCTCCCAGCTTCTCCTAAACCAGGAAGGAACTGCGGAGATTTTTGCAAATCTGCATTTCAAGTTGTCCTCCTGAGAGTCAAGCTCAGCTTCTCTCTTCCCATTTGCCTCAGGAAGAAAACAAGTTTCCACAGACGGAATTTGAAGTACAGATAGTCCTCAACTTACAAGCGTTCGTTTTAGGGACTGTTCAGAGTTACAGCAGCACTTTAAAAATCAACTTAGGACCAGTTTTCACCCTTAAGGACCGTTTGCAGCATCCCCGTGTCACGTGATCCGAATTTGGACCCTTGGCAACCGGCTCCTATTGGTGACGTGATCCCCCTTTGCGTCCTTCCGACAAGCAAAGTCAATGAGGGAAGCCGGATTCGCTTAACGACCGTGTTGCCAACTTCACAAGTGCAGCGATTGACTTGACAACTCTGGCAAGGAAGATTGTTAAAAACTGGGCACAACTGGATGTGATGTCTGTCTCGTTTAGCAGTGGAAGTTTCCACCTCCGTTGTGGTCTTACGTCAAGGACCGCTTGTGCAATCAAGTGTAATAGAAAACACTCATTACAGGAAGTTGGCAACCGTTTACAAGAGTTTGTTTAGTGACCATTTGCAAGGAGGGACGTTCTGCGGATTACAAGGCGAGACGCCATATTATTTCAAAAACCATTCCCGTTAAATTGCATTCCCCCCCCCTCCCTTCTGCTCATCTGGGCTCAGCAGGGCTCACCAGCTGCCGAGCAGGCAGCTCCATTCCTGATCCAGCCCGGCACGCAGCCCCTGGCAGGCAGCCTTGCCAAGCCACGAGATAAAAAAATCAAAAGCCCTTGGGGAGCAGAGTGGCACCGGTCTCATCGTGGTCTCATCCCTTGCTCGTTTTTAATAATAATAATAGTAGTAAAGTTGGAAGGGACCTTAGAGGTCATCTAGTCCAACCCCCTGCTCGGGCAGGAAACCCTACACCATTTCGGACAAATGGCTGTCCAGTCTCTTCTTAAAAACTTCCAGTGTTGGAGCATTTACTGCTTCTGGAGGCAGGCTGTTCCACTGATTAATTGTTCTCACTGTCAGGAAGTTTCTCCTTAGTTCTAGGTTGCTTCTCTCCTTGATTAGTTTCCACCCGTTGCTTCTTGTCCTGCCTTCAGGTGCTTTGGAAAATAGCTTAATTCCCTCTTCTTTATGGCAGCCCCTGAGATATTGGAATACTGCTACCATGTCCCCCCTTGTCCTTCTCTTCGTTAAACTAGTGTGGCTTTTTGGGGAAAAGCCTGGAAATCTTGCCTCTTTCTCAGAAATGCCAAGGCAGTCAATCTCCACCCCCACCCCGAACGATTCCTGGATGCAATCAATTCAGGGGATACTCCTTCTTTGTCACACCGCTGTGCTGCCTGCCGTTCTTTCACCACCTGAAGGGAGCACCCATCAAAACGGAATCACACCGTTGGAAAGGACTCTGGTGATCTTCTAGGCCAGGGATAGGTAACCTTGATCCTTTTATGACTCGTGGACTTCAACTCCCAGAATTCCTGAGCCAGCATGGGGGAACTATGGCCCCCTCATGACTGGTGGACTTCAACTCCCAGAATTCCTGAGCCAGCCTGGCTCAGCTTGGAAACCTCTCCCTTTCCCCTCAGCGTGGCTGGCTCAGGAATTCTGGGAGTTGAAGTCCATGAGTCATAAAAGAGCCAAGGGTGCCTAACCTTGTTCTAGTCCAACCTTCTCCTCAAGCAAGAGAAAATATGGAGGCCAAACACAACATCTTTTGGGGGGGGGGCAGAGATTTTGGTTTGGTTTTGGGGGGGGTGACCCGTGAATCCCTACCTGCAACCTGTAAACCTGGGACGACCCGGCTATTGAGCATTATAGCAGAACAGAGCTGGAAGGGAGCTTGGAGGTCATCTAGTCCAGCCCCCTGCTCCAGCAGGAGACCCTGTACCATTTCAAACAAATAGCTGTCCAGTCTCTTCTTGAAAACTTCCAGTGTTGGAGCATTCACCGCTTCCAGAGGCAGGCTGTTCCACTGGTTAATTGTTCTAACTATCAGAAAGTTTCTCCTTAGTTCCAGGTTGCTTCTCTCCTTGATTAGTTTCCATCCGTTGCTTCTTATCCTGAATTCCGGCGCTTTGGAGAATAGCTTGACTCCCTCTTCTTTGGGGCAACCCCTGAGATACTGGAACACTGCTATCCTGTCCCCCCTCGTCCTTCTCTTCCTAGACATACCCAATTCCAGCAACTGTTCCTTGTATGTTTTAGCCTCCAGTCCCCTGATCATCTTTGTTGCTCTTCTCTGTACTCTTTCTCGAGTCTCAACATCTTTTTTACATCGTGGTGACCAAAACTGGATGCCGTATTCCAAGTGTGGCCTCACCAAGGCCTTGTAAAGTGGTATTAACACTCCACGTGATCTTGATTCCATTCCTCTGTTAATGCAGCACTGTGTTGGCCTTTTTGGCTGCTGCAGCACACGGCTGGCTCCTATTTAAGGGATCGTCCACTAGGACTCCGAGATCCCTCTTGCCATTACTACTATTGAGTGACCACTTACAACCACGGCAGTATCCCCAGGCTGACACCATCCAATGACACAAAGCTTGGCAACCAGAATGTACAGGTCATCCTTGACTAACAGCAGTTCGCCTAGTTAACGACCCAATTGCATAGCCATGCTAGGCACAAAAAAAGTAGATCCAGGCCAGACGCTCGGCGGGCCAACAAACAGGGAGACCTGTGATGCCCTCACAGCACAGAAAGATCGTGGCAAGACTTGGAACGGACCTTTCGTGCGACTTTTTGGTTGTTGCGTGCCACTAGCCGGTCCAGGAAACGCCGCACTTTCTTGGTCAGGCTCTCTTTCCGTTTGTAAAGCGACCTGCGCCGTTCGTTGGCCTCCTTGCTGTCCTGGCGCAGGCGGATCTGCCGTACCACCCCTTCGAAAAGTTCGGTCACGTTGTGCTGGAGGGCAGCGGACGTCTCAATGAATTTGCAGTTGAAAACCACAGCGCAGGCCCGGCCTTCTGCGAAGGAAAAAAAAACACCACACAAATTGGTGAGCAAGACGCTGATCTCTCCGGCATATCCCAAAGGTGTTTTTTTTCCAAAAGGCAACTGGACTTTTCAGGTTTCCCCCCCCCCCCTTGAAAACGTTGCGCTTCTCATCCAAGAGGCTTCTTCCGTTCTGAGCAGAACAGAAGAAGCTTTGTGAATGAAAAGCAAAACGTTTTGAACCTTGGGAAAAATTTCAGAGAAGAGCAACGAAGGTGATCCAAGGCCTGGAGACTAAAACATACGAAGAATGGCTGCGGGACTTGGGTTTGGCCAGTCTAAAGAAAAGAAGAAACAGAGGAGACATGATAGCAACGTTCCAGTATCTGAGGGGCTGCCACAAAGAAGAAGGGATCACATTATTCAACAAAGCACCAGAGGGAAGGACGAGAAACAACAGTTGGAAACTGATCAAGGAGAGAAGCAACCTGGAATTAAAAGAAACTTCCTAACAGGGAGGACAATTAACCAACGGAACAGCTTGCCACCAGAAATCGTGGGTGTTTCATCCCTGGAGGTTTTTAAGAAGAGGCTAGAGGACAGTCACCTGTCTGAGATGGTGTAGGTCAGTGATGGCGAACCTTTTAGAGACTGAGTGCTCAAACTGCAACCCAAAACCCACTTATCCATCGTTGGGTGCCGGGTGGGTGTGGCCCATTCGGTGGGCGTGGCCCATTCAGTGGGCATGGCCTATTAGGTGGGCATGGCTGCAGTGGTAACAGCGACTGGGTGGGACTAAAAAGTTCAATCAATCAATTCCAACTTTGCAAGATCTTTTTTTTCCCCACGAGAAGTTGAAATTGACTGAACTTTTTTTTTTTTGCACACAGCAGCAGAGGCCTAAAGCAAAAAGATTTTATAAAACCCAGCTGAAGGCCTAGAACTGGGGCGACGGCGCGCGTGCCCACAGAGAGGGCTCTGAGTGCCGCCTCTGGCACCCCTGCCATAGGTTCGCCACCACTGGTGTATGTTCTCCTGCTTGAGTAGGGGGCTGGACTAGAAGACCTCCAAGATTCCTTCCAGCTCTATTCTATTCTATTCTATTCTATTCTATTCTATTCTATTCTATTCTATTCTATTCTATTCTTTGTGACAACTGTGACCTAGAATGATTGGGAATCTCCTGAGACACTCATAGTTACAATCAGAAAAGATGCTTCATCTGACTACTTTCTCATTTACCACACCAGGTTAAGCTATAAACGAAGAGAGTGGACTGGACAGCACAGAACATAGAATAACAGAGTTGGATGCGACCTTGGAGGTCTTCTAGTCCATCCCCCTGCTCAAACAGGAGACCCTACACCATTCTAGACAAATGGCGGTCCAGTCTCTTCTTAAAGACTTCCAGTGTTGCAGCATTTACTGCTTCTGGAGGCAGGTTGTTCCAGTGGTTAATTGTTCTAACTGTCAGGAAGTTTCTCCTTAGTTCTAGGTTGCTTCTCTCCTTGATGAGTTTCCATCCGTATCCGTCGCTTCTTGTCCTGCCTTCAGGCACTTTGGAGATAGCTTGACTTCCTTCCTTCCTTCCTTCCTTCCTTCCTTCCTTCCTTCCTTCCTTCCCTTCCCTTCCCTTCCCTTCCCTTCCCCTCCCTCCTTCCTTCCTCCATCCTCCATGTACTTTCTTTCTTGCTCTTCTTTCTTTCTTTTTCTTTCTTTCTTTCTTTCTTTTTTTTCTTCCTTTTTTCTTTCTTTTTCTTTTTCTTTCTTTCTTCTTGCTCCCTTTTTTCTTTCTCTTTCTCTTTCTTTTTCTTTCTTTTTTCATTTCTCTTTCTTGCTCTTTTTCTTTCTCTTTCTCTTTCCTTCTTTCTTTCTCTTTCTTTTTCTTTTTTTCTTTCTCTTTTTTCTTTTTTCTTTCTTCCTCTTTTATTTATTTCTCTTTTTCTTTTTTCTTTTTTCTTTTTCTTTCTTTCTTTCTTTTTCTTTCTCTTTCTCCCTTTCCTTCTTTGTCTTTCTGTTTCTTTTTTCTTTCTGTTTCTTTTTTCTTTCTTTTTTCTGTTTTCTTTCTCTTTCTCTTTTTTCTTTTTTCCTTTTTCTTTCTTTCCTTCTTTTTCTTTTTCTTTCTTTTTTCTTTCTTTTTTTTATTCCTTCCTTCCTTTCTTTCCTTTCTTTCTTTCCTCTTCCCTCCCTCCCTCCCTCCCACCCTCTCCCCAAAGAACCAAAGCAGCTCCTTCGATAAGAAGCAAAACATTTTCAAGGGGAAAAAATAAAGTCCAAGAAAGTCCAGTTGCCATTTTGAAAAAAAAAAAAAGCACCTTTGGGGCTAAACCGTGACCTGGACGACGCAGAGTCTCCAGAGACCTTCGGGAACCAGCTTGGCCCTCCTGGGACCCACCTTCCACGGAGACTTCTCGGGAGCGCACCAGGTCGGTCTTGTTCCCCACCAGGATGATGGGGATGTTCTCCGCCTGCCGGGTCCTCCGAAGCTGGATGCGCAGCTCCGAGGCGCTCTCAAAGCTGGCCCGGTCGGTGATGGAGTAGACCAGGACATAGGCGTTGCCCACCAGCATGCAGTAATTGTGCAGCCAGTTGCCTTCTTCCAATGACTGCAAAAAAGAAAAAAAGAAAAAAGATGGAATAGGAATAAGAATAAGAATAAGAATAAGAATAAGAATTAGAATAGAATAGAATAGAATAGAATAGAATAGAATAGAATAGAATAGAATAGAATAGAATAGAATAGAATAGAATAGAAATTAAGTGGAGTGGAGTAGAGTAGACTAGAAATTAAATGGAATAGAATAGAATAGAATAGAATAGAATAGAATAGAATAGAATAGAATAGAATAGAATAGAATAGAATAGAAATTAAATGGAGTGGAGTGGAGTGGAGTGGAGTGGAGTGGAGTAGAATAGAAATTAAACGGAATAGAATAGAATAGAAATTAAATGGAATGGAATGGAATAGAATAGAATAGAATAGAACAGAACAGAATTATGGGATAGAATAGAACAAAATAGAATAGAATTATGGGATAGAGTAGAATAAAATTATGGGATAGAATAGAATAGAACAAAAAAAGAACAGAATAGAATAGAATTATGGGATAGAACCAAATAGAATAGAATAGAATAGAAATATAGAATTGAATAGGACTATAGAATAGAATAGAATAGAATAGAATAGAATAGAATAGAATAGAATAAAATAGAATAGAATAGAAAAAGGAAGAGAAGAGAAAAGAGAAGAGTACAGAAGAGAGAAGAGAGGAATAGAATGGAATAGAATAGAATAGAATAGAATGGAATAGAATAGAATAGAAAAAGGAAGAGAAGAGAAGAGAAAAGAGAAGAGTACAGAAGAGAGAAGAGAGGAATAGAATAGAATAGAATAGAATAGAATAGAATAGAATAGAATAGAATAGAATAGAATAGAAATTAAATGGAGTGGAGTGGAGTGGAGTAGAGTAGAATAGAAATTAAACGGAATAGAATAGAATAGAATAAAAATTAAATGGAATGGAATAGAATAGAATAGAATAGAATAGAATAGAATAGAATAGAAATTAAATGGAGTGGAGTGGAGTGGAATGGAGCAGAGCAGAGCAGAGCAGCAGAACAGAAATTAAACGGAATGGAATGGAATAGAATAGAATAGAATAGAATAGAATAGAATAGAATAGAATAGAATAGAATAGGAATAGAATAGAAAATATGGAGTGGAATAGAATAGAATAGAATAGAATAGAATAGATCTGGAAGGGACCTTGGAGATCTTCTAGACAAGCCCCCTGCTCAAGCAGGAGAACCTATATACCATCTCAGACAGGTGAATGTCTAGTCTCTCCTTAAAAATTTCCAGTGATGGAGTGCCCATGATTTCTGGGGGCAAGAGAGGGATGAGAGGTGTTCCCACAAGAGAAGGGTCTCCTTTGACCTCCGTCTCACCCTGATCCAGGCTTAGGCTGGGCTTGGCCTTTGGAGTCAAAAGTGAAAGGAATAAACCTTTGCGTCCTTTTTTTTTCGCAGTGCAAAATGCACGTTGTCAATTCTACAACGAAGTTAGCTGGAGCCATTTTCCCTTCGTTTTCGGTTGCCACACAATTGGGAGGGGGGAAATGAGTGCTTTATCTTAGACATAACAATAATTTGTCCCGTGGGAACCAAGGTCCTTGCTAACTGCATTTTGGCAGGCGGTAACTTTCATTAGAAAGCCCGCCCAAGTTGATAATTGGGGAATGTGATTTATGACATAATACAGGGTGAGTAAGTTTCATTTTGTGACTTTGTAACCTTGGGGGTGGGGTGTTTCGGTCTTGGGTTCAATTTTGAACGTGCCGACATTAAGTCGCCAAATAAACATGTTCTTTTTACACGTAAATACGACCCTTTTTACACACGATCGTTGCAGCGTCCCCCCGTGATCACAGAAATTCAGACGCTTGGCGACTGACTCACATTTACGACGGTCGCAGCATCCAGGTGGGTGTCACGGCATCCCCCCTTTTGCGACCCTTCTGACAAGCCAACTCCATGGGGGAAGACGGATTCGCTTAATGACTGTTGTTAGTTAACAGCGGCAAGTGATTCGCTTAGTGGCTGTGGCAAGGCAGGTCGTAAAAAGGAACAAAGGTTGCTTAGCAAATGTCTTGCTTTGCAATGGAAATTTGTGGTCGTGAGTTGAGGACTACCTGGAATCACATCCCACGAGGGCTCAGCACAGGTGATGAGTTTGTGCAAGCATCCAGGTTGAGGACAGGAGCAAAAAATACCCATTGCTTGACTACCTGAGCACAGGTAGCCTCCAAGGACTTCCCAGGAAAGCTGCTGCCACTGCTGGACTGAACCTCAAAGAATTAACGGAACTGATTTATTTGTATTCTGCCTTTAATATTTTATTGCAAATAACTCAAGGTGGTGAACTTATCCAATACACCTTTTTCTCCTCCTATTTCCCCCCACGATAACAATCCTGTGAGGTGGGCAGGGCTGAGAAAGAGGGACTGGCCCAGAGTTACTCAGCCAGTTTTCATGCCTAAGGCGGGACTAGAAATCCCAGTCACCTGGTGATTGGTCAAAAGTCACCTACCGAGCTTTCATGCCTAAGGCGGGACTAGAACTCGTAGTCACCTGGTGATTGGTCAACAGTCATCTACCAAGCTTTCTTGCCTAAGGCAGGACTAGAACTCACCATTTCCTGGGGATTGGCCCAAAGTCACCCAGCCGGCTTTGGTGCCTAAAGCGGAACTAGAATTCACCGTCTCCTGGTGATTGGCCCAAAGTCACCCAGCTGCTTTCACACCTAGGGCAAGACTAGAACTCACCATCTCCTGGGGATTGGCCCAAAGTCACCCAGTCAGTTTCATGCCTAAGGCGGGACTAGAACTCACCGTCTCCTGGTGATTGGCCCAAAGTCACCCAGCCAGGACTAGAACTCACGGTCTCCAGCTTCCTAGTCTGGTTCCTTAACCAACAGACCAAGAGGTTGTCCAAGGTTGGACAGCGTCCACATCAGAGTTTCTCAATCTTGACCCTTTTAAGACAGGGGGTCTCTCTCTCTCTCTCAGCCCAGCCCACCTCACAAGGTTGTCGTGGGGGAAAATAGGAGGAGAAAAGTGTGTTGGATAGTTTCACTGCCTTGGTGATATAATAACGGCGGGATACGACGACACGAATAAATTTTGCACGCCAGTCAGGAAAGAGCACTTTGCAGACGTTCTCCGGCCGAGAAAGATGCAGGCTCCCTGAGAAAGGTACTCCTGGGCTGGATCTCTGGGTCAGGCCATTCCCACCTACCCGCTTTTCAGCCTCCCAGGGGTCGATCGCCACCAGCGTGGTCTCCTCCCCGTCCACGGACAAGGTGCGTTCGTAGGTGTCCTCTGGAAGGAAGCAGAAGCAGAACTGGGTCCGACGGCCACGAATTGCTTCGGAATTAGCAATAAAGAGGAGAGACCCAGGGAACCGGAACCGTCCCAGACGCCAGAAACACGGAGGGAGCCTGTGGGAGCAGCCACGGCAGCCACGGGAGGGCAAGTGGTTTAAATCGGGCAACAAAGGGGCCGAAAGTCACCAACCTTAGAGTAGCCCATCCAGTTCAAGCAAGGAAGCAGGATGGACAAATTTCGGGGTCCTGGGCGCTCTCTGAGCTTGGCGGTTTTTTTACAGACGTTTCGTGACCCAGCTAGGGAACATCATCAATATTAGAAGGAAGGGGGGTTGCAGAGAGGGGGAGGGGGAGGGAGAGAAGGAGGGGGGAGGAGGGAGAGGAGGAAGGGGAGGAGGGAGAGGAGGAAGGGGAGGAGGAAGACGAGGACTGTAGGAGTCTTTGGTGCTCTCTGAGCTTGGTGGCTTTCTTACAGACGTTTCCTGACCCAGCTAGGGAACATCATCAATACTAGAAGGAAGGGGGGGTTTGCAGAGAGGGGGAGGGGGAGGGAGAGAAGGAGGGGGGAGGAGGAAGAGGAGGGAGGGGAGGAGGAAGAGGAAGAGGAGGAGGACTGTAGGAGTCTTTGGTGCTCTCTGAGCTTGGCGGCTTTCTTACAGACATTTCGTGACCCAGCTAGGGAACATCATCAATACTAGAAGGAAGGGGGGTTTGCAGAGATGGGGAGGGGGAGGGGGGAGGAGGAGGAGGAGGGAGAGGAGGACTGGGAGAGGAGGAGGAGGAGGACTGTGGGGTCCTGGGTGCTCTCTGAGCTTGGTGGCTTTCTTACAGATGTTTCGTGACCCAGCTAGACAACATCATCAATACTAGAAGGAAGGGTGGTTTGCAGAGATGGGAAGGGGGAGGAGGAGGAGGAGGAGGAGGACTGTGGGGTCCTTGGTGCTCTCTAAGCTTGGCTGTTTTCTTGCAGACGTTTCAGTACCCAACTAGGTAACATCATCAGTGCTAGATGGGAGTATGGCTTGTGGAGAGGAGGAGGAGGACCACTGTGGGGTCCTTGGTGTTCTCTAAGCTTTCTTGCTTTCTTGCAAACGTTTCATGACCCAACTAGGGAACATCCCCAGTGCCAACTTCCCTTCCTTCTAGCGCCGATGACATTACCCAGCTGGGTCATGAAACGTCTTCAAGAAAACAAGCTCAGAGAACGCCAAGGACTCCACCGTTCAACCCAGAGCTAGGAAAAGTTACAAGAGCTTGTAGGAGACCCACCTCGTTGTTGCTCCAGGGAGTCCTTCTCTTGCACCCCAGCAAAGAGACTCACCAGGCTGCTCTTGCCCACCCCGGGGTCTCCCAGAAACACCACTCGGTAGAGGGATCCCGATGACTCCTCCGAGCTGGGGGACTCGGATCGCCAGCTCCCGCAGGGCTCCGGCAGGCAGGCTCGGGGCTCGCAGGACAAGGACTGTCCCAACTGGGGGTGGCAGGGCTCGGCCCCCCTGCTCCGAGGGCTCAGCCTCTCCCGGTGAGAAGCCGGAACAGGGGTGCTGGCCCGTCGCTGGCACGGACCACCGGGGCTCCCCCGTTGGATGTTCAGGGTCATCTTCTTCTGCCGAAGGGAATCGGTCCCCAGGTGAGGGTTGCGGCACTGAAAAGATGGGGGGGGCAGGGAGGGGTCCACCTCTTCTCCAAAGCCCCTAAAAGGCAGGGCAAGAAGGCACGGATGGAAACTCATCAAGGTGAGAAGCAAACCTGGAATTAAGGAGAAACAATTAGCCAGCGGAACTACTTGCCTCCAGAAGCGGGGGGCGCTCCATGACTGGAGGCTTTTAAGAAGAGACTGGACAGCCACTTGTCTGAGATGGTATAGTCCAGTGGTTCTCAACCTTTTTAATGCCGCGATCCCCAACCGGTCGTAAGTCGAGGACTACTCAACTGGTGCAGCACCGTTTGCAGAATGGGACTTTTGGCGGGCTCAGCAGGGCAGAGACAGCCTGGACAATTCCTATTGGCTTTTGAAAGCCAATAGAATTAGACTCTATTCAAGAAAGTCTATTCTATTGGCTTTCAAAAGCCAATAGAATAAAAGGGAGTAGCACAGCTAAGGAAAAGGGGGGAAAAATGGCGGACTGCGTTGTTTGGCGACCCCCGTGAAATGGTCGTTCGACCCCAAATGGGGTCCCCACCCACAGGTTGAGAACCACTGGCATAGGGTTTCCTGCCTGAGCAGGGGTTGGACTAAATGACCTCTGAGGTCCCTTCCAACTCTGTTATTCAATGGAGTAGATTGCCTCTAGGCTTAACCTTAAACCCAGGTTAAGAAGATCAAATGGTTGCATCCATACCCCATGTGGCGCCAAAAGGAAACCATCATCCCAGTTATTAGTATGGTGGCCAGCCCGTTTGTTTAGACTTGCGTTTCTGAATCTTGGCCATTTTAAGATGGGTGGACTTCAACTCCCAGAATTCCCCAGCCATCATGTGCTAGCTGGGGAATTCTGGGAATTGACATCCACCCCTCTTTCAGCGGCCGAGAAAAACTGTCCTGAATAGATACTGGCAAGGTAAGTGAGTCGGAAATAGCTGCAAATAAAAAATCCAGCCAGTCCTGGCATTCGGCATTCACCTTCCATCCAGTTAGTTTATTCATTTTATTATTGTATTTCGCTTTGTCCAATGACTTTATTTATTATTTTATTGAGCAGGTTTATCTAGCTAAGCCCGTCTCACAAAACCTGGCGTGCTGGCACCACAACAGTTGAAAGCAAAAACCGTAGAACAGTCTTGAAAAAAGCTGAAATACGAGTAAAAAAATATAAACAAACCCAGATATGGCAGTTGCTAGTTCTTGCTAGGAAGGGGAGAAGAGAGTGAAAAAGCTGGCTGTGTGAATGTGTGAATAATCAGAACTTTAAAACATGGTTAGTTGTGGGTTGTTTTTTTTCATAAACTGTAAAAGGTTTGAGACCAAGTGCCATTGTTTTCCCTGTAAGAAGTGATGTGAACAACAAGGATTTGTGGAGGGGGGGACCTCAACCACTGACTACCCCACACATCAGCCTACTCCCCACCCCATACTCCCAGAAGGGGCTGGGAAGCATGGCCATTGTAATCCAAAGGATTATCCTGCCTGAGCAGGGGGTTGGACTAGATCAGGGCTTTTCAACCTTTTCACCCCTTGTACCACTTTTAGGATATGGCAACATCCGAGGACCACCAGTCGCCTAGCAAGGTGTCAAAAACTTGATGACCCCTCGAAAAAGGGAAAAAGTGATAAAGTACAGGTAGTCCTCGACTTACAACAGTTCGCTTAGTGACTCTTCGAAGTTGCAACGGCACTGAAAAAAGTGCCCCCCAAGCCACTGCCGAGCAAGACACCTGCCTGCCCGCCCGGCGGTGCTCTTCCTCCTGTCCGAGGTTTCCATTGTTGTGAGCGTTTCTGTTGAGGATTGGCAGCAGGGGTGGGGTGGGGGGTGTTTGGTTTTTATTCCCCCCCGTCTGCTGGGTGGTTGCAGCAGGTTTTGGTCACTTCCCATGACCCTGGGACACTGTGACCGTCATAAATATGAATCTGTTGCCAAGCATCTGAATGTAAATCGCAAGACCCTGGAGAGGCTGCAACATTCCAGCTGATTTATGTTTCTTCAGGGCTCAGCAGAAGCCCCAGGATCAGCGCCGAGCTCCAGATGGAGCCTGGCGCTGATCCTGGTGCTTCCGCTGAGCCCTGACAGCCCTGAAGAAGCACTGATCCTGGCGCTTCCGCTGAGCCCAGAAGAAGCGCCGATCAGCTGGAATGTTACAGCATCTCCACGGTGCTGAAACCTCTCTTTCAGCGTTACTAAACCCAAGCTAAAAATGGAAATTAAAAAAGAATTGCCATCTTTTTTTAAAAAAAAAAAGAATTATTCAGGCTTCTGAGCTGCTGGGTTAACATTTTCACCCCGTCATTTCTGAGTTTTAAGTAACATTGATTCCCCCCAATATATACATATTCCATCCCTGACACAGCTGATAAAGTGAGAAAGAGCCTGTGGCCTAGAGGTTAACACAGCTGCTTAACATGCAGACAGCCCGGGTTCGAATCTCAGAAAAGGAATGTTTGGTTGATAAGAACTAAAAAGTTCAAAATAGCTATTCCATTCTCCCTTAATTCTTTGTTAGCAATCCAATGTGAAGCACGAAGCTGAAAACACCGGCCTGAAGATGACGAATGGGACTTCGTCGAAACGTCACCAAGACACTTCCAATTTGACGCGGGAGAAAACCCGAACAACCAAAGACCTACATACAAACACCCGTGAAAACCTCAGAAAACACACACACACACACACACACACACACACATATATACCTTACAACCGTTGTTTTAGTGACCGTTCAATATTATGAGACCAATGAAAAAAGTGATTTATGATCCTTTTTCACACTTAGGACCCGTTGCAGCATCCCTCATAGTCACGTAATCAGAATTCAAATGCTTGGCAACTGGCATGTACTTAGGACGGTTGCAGTGTCCCAGGGTCACCTGATCTCCTTTTGGGACCGTCTGATAAGCGAAGTCAATGGAGAAGCCAGATTTGCTTAACGACCGTGTCACTAACCTAACAACTGCAGTGATTCACTTAACAACTGTGTCAAAAAGGTCGTAAAACGGGGCAAAACTCACTTAACAACTGCCTTGCTTAACAACCGAAACTCGGGGCTCAGTCGTAAGTCGGAGACTACCGGTACTTGAAGTTGTTGCGGTTATTTTACAATATTAGTTTGTCAAAATATAAAACACAAAGAGAAATTCAAAAAAATATATAACAATACTTGGAAGTTTTCTACCTTCAATAAATCCGCTGGCTTCTTAAGAAACCCTGAATTATTTTTTTGTCCGACACCGTTTTATGGACCATAAAACAACTCTGCTCTTCAGGATGAAAACTAGTGTAATTTTTTTTTTTTTTTCTTTGCCACTTTCCTCCTGGAGATTTCAATCCAAGCAAGTAGGAAAACAGAGAAGCTAAAATGTACCAAGTGCAACTTGCAACTTCTGTGCAGAGAGCTTTTGTTAATACAGTGCCAACACAGTGCAAGGCTGCATCAACAGAAGGAGAGAATCGGGATCACGTGGAGTGTTACTACCGCTTTACAAGGCCAATCTCTTCTTGAAAACCTCCAGGGTTGGAGCAATTCACTGTATCTGGAGGCAGGCTGTTCCACTGGTTAATGGTTCTCACTGTCAGGAAGTTTCTCCTTAGTTCCAGGTTGCTTCTCTCCTTGATGAGTTTCCATCCGTTGCTTCTTGTCCTGCCTTTTAGGTGCTTTGGAGAAGAGAGCAACAGAGGTGGAAGGGACCTTGGAGGTCATCTAGTCCAACCCCAATGCTCAAGCAGGAAACCCTATACCAGTGATGGCGAACTTTTTAGAGACCGAGTGCCCAAAAAACTGGCCCTGCCCCCGCCCCCACTCTGCCCCCCTGCCCCGCTCCCCCTGCCCACAGGACCACTCACCGCCTCCAAGGCCCACCGCAGATCGCTCAGGCAGCCCTGCAGCATCAACTGCATGATGGGGCGTGAGGGCAGAGTCTTGTCTACGCTGCCTGGCTGCCATGTCCTTGGCTGCGCTGCTCCATGTGGGCCACGCTCGGGGGCGACTCTCCTTCAGGGGGGCTGCTGGAGAGGAGGGGGTCACGGGGGGAGGCAAGGCTGGGGCAACGGCACTTGTGCCCACAGAGAGGGCTCCGAGTGCCGCCTTTGGCACCCGTGCCATAGGTTCGCCACCCCTGCCCTATACCATTTCGGACAAATGGCTGTCCAGTTTCTTCTTAAAAACTTCCAGTGTTGGAGCATTCACCGCTTCTGCAGGTAGGTTGTTCCACTTATTACTCAATTAATCCACAAATTAATTGTTCAGACTTGTTTCCTTGGTGCTTCTGGCTGCTGGCAGATTTCATTCAGCTACCTCTGGTTTTAATTTAAATTTTACTACCTGGATCCTCTTTTGGGCTAAAGAAGAAGCACCTTAGCCCACAGGTGAAATCAAGGTATGACCAAGCCCATCCCCCCTTTGAGTCTTTTAAGGTGCACGCTCTCTCCCTGTCTCTCTCTCTGTTTCTTTCTCTTTCCATCTCTCTCTCTCTCTCTCTCTCTCTCTCTCTCTCTCTCTCTCTCTCTTTCTTTCTCTTTCTCTCTCTCCCCATCTCTGTTTCTTTCTCTTTCTCTCTCTCTCTCTCTCTTTCTGTTTCTTTCTCTTTCTCTCTCACGCCATCTCTGTTTCTTTTTCTTTCTGTTTCTTTCTCTCTCCCTCTCTCCGTTTCTTTCTCTTTCTGTCTTTTTCTTTCTCTTTCTGTCTTTGTCTCTCTGTTTCTTTCTCTTTTCTCTCTCTCTCTCTCTGTTTCTTTCCTTTTCTCTCTCTCCCTCCCTCTGTTTCTTTCTCTTTGTCTTTCTTTCTTTCTCTTTCTGTTTCTCTCTCTCTCTCTCTCTATCTTTCTGTTTCTTTCTCTTTGTCTCTCTCTTTCTGTCTTTCTCTCTGTTTCTTTCTCTTTCTCTTTGTCTTTCTGTCTGTTTCTTTCTTTCTCTCTCTCCCCGTCTGTCTCTCTCTGTTTCTTTCTCTTTCTGTCTTTTTCTCTCTCAGTTTCTTTCTTTCTCTCTCTCCCTCCCTCTCTGTTTCTTTCTCTTTCTGTCTTTCTCTTTCTCCCTCTGTGTTTCTTTCTCTTTCTCTCTCTCATCTTTCTGTCTCTCTTTCTTTCTCTCTCTCTCTCTCTGTTTCTTTCTTTCTCCCTCTCTCTTCCTCTCTGTTTCTTTCTCTTTCTGTCTTTCTCTTTGTCTTTCTCTGTCTCTGTTTCTCTCTCTCTTTCTGTCTTTCTATCTTTCTCTCTCTCTGTTTCTTTCTCTGTCTTTTTCTTTCTCTTTCTTTCTCTCTGTGTGTTTCTTTCTCTCCCTCTCCCTCTCCGTGTGGGTTGCAATCCTGCTCTGGTTTCTTACAGGGCACCAGTAACCCAACGCCGGGCAGGCTGGTTTTGCCAGCTCCCAACTTCCAAAACACGGTTAAAAATTCAAAAAGGGAAGCGGTTTCCGATTGTCACCCGCGGCATAAAGTTACACGCCCGCTCCGCAAACGCTGCCTGCAGCCGACTTCACATCGGCCGCCTCCGAGAAGCCCTGGAGCTCCAGCGATATTCGGGGGGGGGGGGGAACGGCGAAGGTGCCCCTGAGCGTGTGCAAAGCGCATCGCCCTGCTTTCCCACGGACGGGGGTTATTCCCAAAGGGGCCGCGCCCTTCGACTTGGGGGGGGGGGAAGTCTCTAATCCGGGGGCGCCCACCTTTGACAAACTTTTAAGACTCCCCAAAGTTGGCTGGCCAATTCTGGGGGTTGGAGTCCATAAGTCTTAAAAGGTGCCAAAATTGGACACTTCTGCTCTAACCTCTTTACGGGGGGGGGGGTCCGGCTGCTTCTCCCTCCCCAGAAACCTCGCGAAAGCGAGTCACGGGTGGAAAGCTTTGCAGGGCACGCTGCATGGCCTCGGGGGGTCCCCTCGCCCGCATTTGGGGGGGCTCTAAAGGCGCAGGAGGGGTGCCCACTGGAGCGGGCGACGCGCGCAACTACCCCAACCAGGGCGTCCCGGGGGACGACCCCCCCCCCAGGAACCGCTGTCCATGTTTCGGGTGGGGGGGAAAGCTGGCCGCCAGCCCCCCCCCGTCTTACCAACTCGACGGGTCGCTCCCGGGGGTCCTCTGGGCGCCCCCAACCTTGCGCCCCGTCCAGCCTGTCCAGCTTCATGGCGCAGCGGCGGCCACGGCGGGACAGGGCGGGGACTTTTAAGCGGAGGAGCGAAGGCGCCCCCGCCCCGTCGCAGCTGCGGGTGGGACACACCCCCCGTGGCTCAGATGGACCCCCCCCCTTTTCCTCCCTTCCACCCGCCGCCGCCCTTCCCAAGCAGGATGAGAAGAAGGGGGTCTCTGCGCGCGTCCAGAAGGCTAGGGGACCAGCCCCGTCTGCCTTGGAGAAGACCCAGGCTGGCACGCGTCTCACCCGCCTCCCCTTGGCGCTGCCAGCCCGGGTTTTCCTTGGAAACTCCACATTCCTTTGGGAAGGGGAAGTAAAAAAACAGTGTTTCTCAACCTTGACAATTTTAAGGCATGTGGACTTCAACTCCCAGAATTCCACAGCCAGCAATGCTGGCTGTGGAATTCTGGGAGTTGAAGTCCACATGCCTTAAAATTGTCAAGGTTGAGAAACACTGAAACACAAGAACAGTGTTGGGAGGGGCCTTGGAGACTAGAAGACCCTAGACCAGGGGTCTTCAAACGGGGCCCTTTTAATAACTTGTGGACTTCAACTCCCAGAATTCCTCTGCCAGCGTGCCTGGCTGAGGAATTCTGGGAGTTGAAGTCCACAAGTCATAAAAGGGCCAGGTGTGAAGACCCCTGGTCTAAACCATTGCAGAGAAGGGGCTGCCCAATCTCTTCTTCAAAAACCTCAACTGATGGAGCACCCACAACGTCTGGAGGCAGGTTGTTCCACTGGTTAATTTTTCTAACTGTCAGGAAATTTCTCCTTAGTTCCAGGTTGCTTCTGCTTCTTGTCCTGTCCTCAGCTGCTTTGGAGAACAGCTTGACTCCCTCTTCTTTGGGGCAGCCCCTGAGATATTGGAAGGCTGCTATCATGTCCCCCCTCGTCCTTCTCTTCATTAAACTAGACATACCCAATTCTTGCAACCGTTCCTTATATGTTTTAGTCTCCTGTCTGCCCAATCATCTTGTCTCCAGAAGACGTGAACCTGGAATTAAGGAGAAACTTCCTGACAGTGAGAATCAACCAGTGGAACAGCTCGCCACCAGAAATTGTGGGTGCTCCATTCTATTCTACTCTATTCTCCATTCTTTCTATTCTATTCTATTCTATTCTATTCTTTTCTATTCTATTTTCTATTCTATTTTCTATTCTATTTTCTATTCTATTCTATTCTATTGTAGAATAGAATAGAATAGAATAGAAAATATGGGATGGAATAGAATGGAATGGAATGGAATAGAATAGAATAGAATAGAATAGAATAGAATAGAATAGAATAGAATAGAATGGAGGAGTAGAGTAGAGTAGAGTAGAGTACAGTACAGTAGAATAACAGAGTTGGAAAGGACCTTGGAGGTCATCTAGTCCAACCCCCTGTTCAGGCAGGAAACCCTATACCATTTCAGACAAATGGTTGAAGAACAGGACCGCTCGAAAAAATGGACTCAAGGCAGGTGTGATGGCCAAGGAGACCTTCTCCTTATCTCCAAGCTGAGGAGCAGTTGGGAAGGAGCAGCCCAAGGTCCTTTCCAACTTTGTCATTCCGTATTTGGAATCCAGATAACTCCCTGGTGCCGTTCGGAGGACCACGAGACCAAGGTGGGGCTATGAGAAAGGATTTAATGCGAGCAGCAGATGCTCAGCAAGGCACAAGCCAGCTCTCTACTTACCAGGACTTTCCATCCGAATCCTTATGTGGAATTTCTCAGAAAATGTGCATTTAAAAAAAAGGGGGGGGGAAGACCCTCTTCATCTGCTTTTATTCCGAGTTCACCCAGAACGAGGTAGTTTTTGAATTAAGCCCTCTCCTGGGTGCTAGGCCAATGAAGAGAGGGATAGGGGTGACATGATAGTGATCTTCTAATATTTCAGGGGTTGCCACAAAGAGGGGTGGTCAACCTGTTCCCCAAAGCACCAGAAGGCAAGACAAAAAACAACGGATGGAAACTAACCAAGGAGAGAAGCAACCTAGAACTAAGGAGAAACTTAGGGTAAGGGCTGGCTGAGGAATTCTGGGAGTTGGAAGTCCACAAGTCTTAAAGTTGCCAAGTTTGAAGACCCCTGGTGTATAATAAGCTTTGTATCTGCGCATGTCTGTCATCGATAACCAAACCGGGGTTTATTTCCGAATTGCCTTCATATTGAATGGCCTTGATTTTTATTTTTTTTAACAAACAACTCCCACAATACAGATAGCCCTCAACGTACGACCCCAATGGAGCCCCCAATTTCTATTGCTAAACGTGAAGGTTGTGAAGTGAGGCGTGCTCCATTTTTACGACCTTTCTTGCCACGCCTTTTGTTCCCTTAGAATGGTCGCTAAACAAATGGTCCTGAGTTCAAGAATCACCTGGAATGCGCAGCCCGGAGCTGCCCAAAGATACGCAAAGTAAACCCGTCTTTGCAAGTTGCTCAGTTTTTCCTTTTTTTTTTTTTTTTGTCTGCGTTTCTCTTTCTGCACCGTTTCAGGCCCAAAGGTTCCGGCCTCCGTCTTCAAGGGGACTTGTGGTATGTCGTTATTTGAACTGCAGTCCTTGGTAAATGAGTTGCTTTGGTGTAAAATGAACAGTTATGGTTTGCGTTTAAATGTAAGGTCAGACCTGTGATGGCATCCCAGACTTAACAAGAGAAAAGACACTCTCAGCTTAAATGCCCTCTGTCTCCACCTAGTGGTGAATTCTGAGGCTGCAATGGAAAAAAACTGGATCCATTCTTTCTTTCTTTGTGCCTTTCTCTCTGTCTTTCTTTTTCTCTGTGCCTTTCTTTCTCTTTCTGTCTTCTTTCTCTGTCTTTCTCTCTGTGTCTTTTGTCTTTCTCTGTGCCTTTCTCTTTTTCTTTCTTTCTCTCTTTGTGCCTTTCTCTGTCTCTCTGTCTTTACCTTTCTTTCTCTCTGCCTGTTTGTTTCTCTTTCTCTGTGCCTTCCTTTCTTTTTCTTTCTGTCTCTCTCTGTGCCTTTCTTTCTTTGTCTTTCTCTGTGTGTGCCTTTCTCTTTCTCTATCTTTCTCCTTGTCTCTCTGTCGTTCTTCCTCTGTCTTTTTCCATCTTTCTTTCTGTCTCTCTCTCACACACACACACAAATGTGTTACAAATGTAACAACATCAGTGATTCATTTAACAACTCTGGTGAGAGATGTTGTAAAACGGGGCAAAACTCATTTAACTGTCTTGCTTAGCAACGGAAATAACAGAATAAGAGTTGGAAGGCACTTTGGAGGTCATCTAGTCCCACCCCTGCTCAGGCAAGAAACCCTATACCATTTCAGACAAATGGCTGTCCAGTCTCTTCTTAAAAACCTCCAGTGATGGAGCACCCACCACTTCTGGTGGCAGGTTGTTCCACTGGTTAATTGTCCTCACTGTCAGGAAATTTCTCCTTAGTTCCAGGTTGCTTCTCTCCTTGATGAGTTTCCATCCATTGCTTCTTGTCCTGTCCTCAGCTGCTTTGGGGAATAGCTTGACTATTCTGCTTTGGGGCAGCCCCTGAGATATTGGAAGACTGCTATCATGTCCCCCCTCGTCCTTCTCTTCATTAAACTAGACATACCCAATTCCAGAAACCATTCCTTATATGTTTCAGCCTTTAGCCCCCTGATCATCTTTGTTGCTCTTCTCTGCCCTTGAGGACTAGCTGCATGCCCTTCCATGCAGGGCAGAATTTAGCAGGATCCTGGTTTGCAAGAAAGCAGGGATCCTGGTCACTGGTCCTACCCCTGCGGCCTTGACTGCACTCCACATTGGGGTACTGCGGGCAGAACGGGGCCTTGAATTTTGGAGTGTCCCAGCGATAAACCCACCATCATTCAGTCAGATAAGGGCTGCCTTTAATAGAGAAAAGAGAAAACCCCGACATAGTTGGACGAGGAAATTTAAAAACAGCTGCAAGGCTTAGCAAGATTAGGCTTTGCCCAGGATGCGGCACCCAATCCGGGCCAAACACAGCCAAAGCAAACCAACAATGGAGCCCGGAAAGGTTTTTTTGCAATCCAGGCATCTCCTTCCTGTTTCGCTTCCCGCAGCTACAAGGGGAAATCGCCATCCGTCGGGATGTTGAGAACCACCTCCATATCCGGGGTGCATCTGGAGGGGGTGTGTGAAAGAGAGAAGCAGACAACATCAGATCCACACTAGGAAAGAAGGTGAGGCGTCAAAAGTAAGCCTCCCCCCCCTCAAAATGGCATCACAGGACCATGCGGGGGCTCGGGCGGGTCTGGGGGGGCAGCCATCGGAACTACGAATCCGGGTCGTAAGTACCGGTCGTCCTCAACGTACAGCCACAACTGAGCCCAAATATTCTGTGGCTGGGCCAGACCGTGGTTAAGTGAATTTTGACCCATTTTACGACTCTTCTTCCCGCAGTAAGTTAGCCATAGGGTCATTAAGCGAATCTGGCTTTCCCTCATTGGCTTTGCTTGTCAGAATAATAATAATAATAATGATAATGATGATGAAGAAGAAGAAGAAGAAGAAGAAGAAGAAGAAGAAGCAGAAGAAGAAGAAGAAGAAGAAGAAGAAGAAGAAGAAGAAGAAGAAGAAGAAGAAGAAGAAGAAGAAGAAGAAGAAGAAGAAGAAGAAGAAGAAGAAGTTGGAAGGGACCTTGGAGGTCATCTAGTCCAACCCCCTGCTCAGGCAGGAAACCCTATACCATTTCAGACAAATGGCTGTCCAGTCTCTTCTTGAAAACTTCCAGTGTTGGAGCATTCACCGCTTCTGGAGGCAGGTGGTTCCACTGGTCACCAAAAGGGGGTCACGTGACCCCAGGACACTGCAAACCGTCATAACTGTGAGCCACTTGCCAGGCATCTGAGTATGGATCACATATTCATGTGGAGATGCTACAACGGTCGTTAAGTTTGAAAAACAGTCGTAAATCCCCTTTTTCAGTGCCGTCGTAACTTTGAGCGGTCGCTAAATCGACTTGGACACTTGGCACTGAGTCGTATTTATGAGGTTGCAGCAGCCCGGGTTCACGCGATCCCTTTTTGCCACTCTTCTGATGAGCAAAGTCAAAGGGGAGGCCAGGTTCCTAGTTTATCAACTGCAGTGATTCCCTTAACCACTCTGGCAAGAACAGTCGTAAAACGGGACAAAATTCACTTACTGAGCAACAGACATTTTGGACTCCATTGTGGTCGTAAGCCAAGGACCACCTGTATACATTAGGGGCCTCTAGCATACATTGTGGGATGCTTATGCTTATGCATTAAATCCCAGGTTGCAACTGTACCCTTTCCATCGGTCGCTAAGCGATCGGTCGTAAGTCCAGGACCACCTGTATATACTTCTCGGCGGCCGTTTCTTACCCGTGTTTCTTCAAAAATAAGACTGGGTCTTATTTTCAGGGTAGGCCTTACCTCACTTCCGGCACCGACAGCCCCACCCAGCCGGTCCACTTCTTCTGGGGCTGAACTTCTGCAGCTGCAGTTGGGCCTTTCCAGAAGGTCTAAGCAGCCGAGTACCGAGAGATGGATTCAATCCATCGCTTGGAGCTCGGCTGCAGAGATCTTGCAGAACCGAGCTACGGACTGAACCCATAGCTCGGTTCTTGGCGGCAGAGGCCTTCCAGAAAGCCCTGTGACTGAGAAATGCAGGCCTGGCTGCAGAAGAGGCCTCAGAAGAAGAAGTGGGCTGGGGAGGAGAGGCCTGGCTGCAAAATAAGCGGGTGCGCAGCGGGTGGGGCAGCTCCACACCCCCATCCCTGCCCCAGCTTGATTTTTAGGTTTGTACTTCGCACCAAAACTAGGGCTTATTTTTAGGCCAGGGCTTATATTAGACCCACTCACCCCCCAAAATCAAGCTAAGGCTTATTGTTGGTGTAGGCCAGGGATAGGAAACCTGGGCTCTTTTATGACTGGTGGACTTCAACTCCCAGAGTTCCTGAGCCAACAGTGCTGAGGGGAAAGGGAGAGGTTGCCAAGCTGAGCCATGCTGGCTCAGGAATTCTGGGAGTTGAAGTCCACCAGTCATAAAAGGGGCAAGTTTGAAGACCCCTGGTTTAAATATTTAAATATTTTTTCCTCATGGTCCCATGACAAAAATTCAGGCATTTGGGCAGGAGTAAGCAACCTTGGCTCTTTTATGACTCATGGACTTCAACTCCCAGAATTCCTGAGCCAGCCACGCTGAGGGGAAAGGGAGAGGTTTCCAAGCTGAGCCATACTGGCTCAGGAATTCTGGGAGTTGAAGTCCACCAGTCCTAAAAGGGCCAAGGTTGCCTACCCCCGGTGTAGGCCTTACTTTCGGGGAAACACGGCAGTTGTATGCAACCCGTGTGGCTGCCCGACAAGGGACGTGAAGACGAAAAGGGAGGCCGTACTTGGGCCGGCGCAGAAGGACGTCAGGAAAAATGGTGCTGTAGGGGTCCCCAGCTGAGTGATGCAGGACGATGATGCTCTTGTGCAGCTCCTTCACTTCTTTCACCAGGTCGTCAATCACCTGAAATAATAATGATGATGATGATGATGATGATGATGATGATAATAATAATAATAATAAAAAAGTTGGAAGGGATCTTGGAGGTCATCTAGTCCAACCCCCTGCTCAGGCAGGAAACCCTGTACCATTTCAGACAAAGGGCTGTCCAGTCTCTTCTTAAAAACACAAAAAAGGGAATCAAGGCCAGCTGTTCCCAGCTCTGAACATCTCCTGTGTCCCACTGCTTCCAGTTCGACTTCCCGGCCCCCCAATGAGTTTTTAAAACATGGTTGGCATCCAGGTCCCCTGTTACAGATAGTCCTCGACTTACAGCAGTTCGTTTAGCGACGGTTCGAAGTTACAATGGCACTGAGAAAAGTGAGTGAGGACCGTCTTTCACCCTTACGGCCGTTGCAGCATCTCCCACGGTCACGTGGTCAAAATTCAGAGGCTTAGCAAATGGTTCGTATTTATGACGGTTGCAGCGTCCCTGGGGGTGGGAGATCACATGATCCCCTTTTGTGACCTTCTGATGAACAAAGTTAATCGGGAAAGCTAGATTCACTTCACAATGGTGGCAAGGAAGGTCCTCAAATGGGGCAAAACTCAATAAATGTCTCAGTTAGCAACAGAAAGTTTGGGCTGAATTATGGTCATAAGTCGAGGACTGCCTGTACAGTGTTTCTCAATCTTGGCAGCTTTTTATATGGGTGGACATCAACTCCCAGAATTCCCCAGCCAGCTAAACCGGCATCCGCTTCCCATTGGTGGCCAAACTGGCCCATAACGAACCCTTGATTCGCTTAACGACAGTGAAGTTCGGCTAATGACCACTGCTAAAAAATTCATCAAATCGATTTGGTCACCCAGGCCACTAAGTGAATTGATGGTTCGTTATGGCCAGTTTGGCCGCCATTTTTTTAGCTTTTGCCATTTTACAACCGTCGTGACTGATGGCCAGTGGCAGGTGCCATTACACTTTAAGTCAAGGACCAGCTGTAGAATTATTTAAATAGCTTTTCTGTTTGATTCTTCTCATTTTATTGGCTGAATGGAGTACTCTTTTTTTTACTTTTTAATCACATGGTTAGCCTATATCAGTGACATGGGCAGTATAGTAATTTAATAGACAGACAGAGAAATATTAGATAAAGACAGATAGATATTAGATAGACAGATGGACAGACAGACAGGCAAACAAGATAGATACAGATGATAGATAGATAGATAGATAGATAGATAGATAGATAGATAGATAGATAGATAGATAGATAGATAGATAGATACAGTAGATAGACAGACAGACAGATATAATTAGATAGCTAGATAGACAGATATTAGAGACACAGATATTAGATAGAGATACAGATAGATAGATAGATAGATTAGATAGATAGATAGATAGATAGATAGATAGATACAGTAGATAGACAGACAGATATAATTAGATAGCTAGACAGACCGATATTAGAGACACAGATATTAGATAGAGATAGACAGATAGACAGATAGATAGATAGATAGATAGATAGATAGATAGATAGATAGATACAGTAGATAGACAGACAGATATAATTAGATAGATAGACAGACAGATATTAGAGACACAAATATTAGATAGAGATAGATAGATAGATAGATAGATAGATAGATAGATAGATAGAGATAGATAATTAGATAGACAAACAGATATTAGAGACACAGATATTAGATAGAGATAGATAGATAGAAGCAGTAGGTGTGAACTTAAATGGACTCCAGAAGATGGTAGAGGAAAGGAAGACCTGGAGGAACATTGTCCATGGGGTCGCGATGGGTCGGACATGACTTCGCAATTAACAACAACAGATAGATAGATAGATAGATAGATAGATAGATAGATAGATAGACACAGATATTAGACAGACAGACAGAGATAGATAATTAGATAGACAAATATTAAGAGACACAGATATTAGAGATAGAGATAGAGAGAGATAGATAGATAGAAGAGACAGACAGACAGACAGAAAGACAGACAGATGATGTTAATAATTTTTCTTTAAGTACAGGAAGTCCTCAGCTTACGACCACAATTGAGTCCAAACTTTCTGTTGCTAAGTGAAACATTTGTTTCTCATTTGTGAACTTTGCCCCATTTTACTTCCTTTCTTCCCGCAGTTGTTAAGTGAATCACTGCAGCCACACGGTTGTTAAGTGAATCTGGCTTCCCCCAATGACTTTGCTTCCCAGAAGTTCACAAAAAGGGGATCGTGTGAGCCCGGGGGGACACTGTGCAACCATCATCAGTGTGAGTCAGTTGCCAAGTGTTTGATTTTTGACCACATGACCACAGAGATGCTGCAACGGTTGTAGGTGTGAAAAAGGGTCTTCAGTCACTTTTTTTGGGAGGGTGCCATTGTAACTTTGAACTAAAGGAGCAGTTGTAAATTGAGGACTGCCTATATAGCAGAAACCTCAACTCAGGATTTCCCTTTGTCATCTATACATAACAGTTACTAGCGACCACGAAGGAACAGGTCGCCACCAGGTGATCAAGAGAAGAACTTCCTAACCAATCCTGAACATCGGCTGAGCTTTGCCAAGTTAACTGACTGCGATTCCCAGATTTCCTTGCCTCCTTTTGCGCTTTTATCTGCCTTCTCAGTTCCACGTTGTTCCGGTGCATCTGCTCCAGGCCGTCCTGATACTGCAGCAGCGTCTTCTAGAACGACAAAAAAAAGAAAGACGACACAATTTAAGAAAGGAATGAAACAGCAGTTCATGATTTCTGGGTGGCCACATGAGGTGGCAAGATCCCTTAAATCAGTGGTTCTCAACCTTTTTAATGCCGCGACCCCCCAACCGGTCGTAAGTCAAGGACTACTCAACCGGTCGTAAGTCGAGGACTACTCAACTGGTGCAGCACCGTTTGCAGAATGGGATTTTTGGTGGGCTCAGCAGGGCAGAGACAGCCTAGACAATTCCTATTGGCTTTGGAAAGCCAATAGAATTAGACTCTATTCAAGAGAGTCTATTCTATTGGCTTTCAAAAGCCAATAGAATAAAAGGGAGTAGCACAGCTAAGGAAAACGGGAAAAAAATGGCGGACTGCGTTGTTTGGCGACCCCCGTGAAATGGTCGTTCGACTCCAAATGGGGTCCCGACCCACAGGTTGAGAACCACTGCCTTAAATAGAGGTGGTCCTCGACTTTTAACTGTTCATTTAGCCGTTTGGTTACAGCAGCACTGAAAAAAAAAAGAGATTTAGGACCAGTCCTCCCACTTACGACCGTCGTAGCGTTTCCCCCATGGTCACATGATCCAAACCCAGATGCTTGGCAACTGGCATGGACTTATGACGGTAGCACGGTGACCAGGTTTTGTGATCTTTTTCAGCCCATGCGGGACAAGCCAATAGCTATTCTATTCTATTCTATTCTATTCTATTCTATTCTATTCTATTCTATTCCATTCCATTCCATTCCATTCCATTCCATTCTATTTAATGAAGAGAAGGACTAGGAGTGACATGATAGCAGGATTCCAGTATCTCAGGAGCTGCCCCAAAGAAGAGGGAGTCAAGCTGTTCTCCAAAGCCCCTGAAGGCAGGACAAGACACAATGGATGGAAACTAATCAAGGAGAGAAGCAACCTGGAACTAAGGAGAAATTTCTTGGCAGTTGGAACAATTAACCAGTGGAACTACCTGCCTCCAGAAGGTGTGAATTCTCCAGCACTGGAAGTTTTCAAGAAGAGACTAGATAGCCACTTGTCTGAAATGATATAGGTCTCCCGTTTGAGCAGGGGGTTGGACTAGATCAGGGCTTTTCAACCAGTAGTACGGGTACCACCTGTGGTACATTGGCACCTGGCGGGTGGTATGCAACCATTCTAGAAAAGTGAGCCCTGAAGAAGCACCAATCAGCTGGAAAGCAGCACTGATCCTGGCGCTTCCGCTGAGCCCAGGAGAAGCCCCGATCAGCTGGAATGTTACAGCCTCTCCAAGGTCTTGTGATTTACATTCAGAGGCTTGGCAACTGATTCCTATGTATGACGGTCACAGTGTCCCAGGGTCATGGGAAGTGACCAAAACCTGCTGCAACCACCCAGCAGATGGGGGGAATAAAAACCAAACACCCCCCACCCCACCCTCGCTGCCAATCCCCAACAGCAATGCTCACAACAATGAAAACCTCGGACAGGAGGAAGAGCACCGCCGGGCAGGCAGGCAGGGGTCTTGCTTGGCTGTGGCTTAGGGGGCACTTTTTTCAGTGGCAGTTGAACAGTCACTAAGTGAACTATTGTAAATCGAGGACTACCTGTACTTTATCACTTCCCCCCCCTTTTTTTTTTTTGGTCATCAGGTTTTCGACCCCTTGCTAGGCGACTGGTGGTCCTCGGATATTGCCGTATCCTAAAAGTGGTACAATGGGTGAAAAGGTTGAAAAGCCCTGGACTAGATGACCTCTAAGCTCCCTTCCAACTCTCTTCTGATTGATTGATTGATTGAAATGGCATAAGCTCTCCTGCCTGAGCTTGGGGTTGGACTAGATGACCTCCAAGCTCCCTTCCAGCTGTATTCTGATTGATTGATTGGAAAAAAAAAAAACCCTCAAGAAAGTCCAGTTCCTCTTTTGGGGATTCCACTCACGTCGGCCACGGACTGCAGAATGCGCTCCTGCTCGTCCCGGGCTTTTCCCGCTAAGGAGTCCAGGAACCGCTTGGCCAGATCTTCGGTGTCTTCCAATTCGTACTGCAGGGGGGCAGAAAGAGAAGGGGGGGGTCTTTAAAGAAGGGTCCGAGGACTGCAGGTCCCCCCCCACCTCAGCCCACCCTTGAGAGGGAGCGCCACCCCCCCCCGTCCACCTGTTGCTCCTCATTCAGGTTCCGGATGTTGCGCAGGAGGGAGGAGATCTGGACGGCCTTCAGCGGGTACTCCTTGTCCATGTACGTCCGCAGGAGGTTGACCTCCTCCTGCAGGGTGTGGACCTTGGTGCTGACCCGTTTCAGCTCCAGGTCCATCTCTGGAGAGGAGAGAAAGAGAAGCTGTTTTCTGCAAACACCCCGGCACCCCTGGAGGTTCTGATGGCAGTTATCAGAAGGAAATATACATATATAAAACCCTACGCATACATGTAAGCACATGTACATATATGTATAGTATGTAAACATATACTATATACACACACATATACACATATACATATATATGCATATATATACCTATACACATACATATCTATATACACACATACATATATATACATATCTGTATACACACACACATACACACACAGACACACACACACACATATATATACCTATCTATACACACACACATACACACACATACATATATCCACACATATGCATACATGTAGATACACACGTGCATAGATAGATAGATAGATATAGATATGAGAGAGAGAATATAGATAGATAGATAGATAGATAGATGATAGATATATAAGATAGATAGATAGATAGATAGATAGATAGATAGATAGATAGACAGACAGACAGACAGATACAAGATATAGATAGATTGATAGATAGATGATAGATAGATATATAAGATAAATAGATAGATAGACAGACAGATACATGATAGATAGATAGACAGACAGATACATGACAGATTGATAGATTGATAGATAGATAGATAGATATATAAGATAAATAGATAGATAGACAGATACATGATAGATAGATAGACAGACAGACAGACAGACAGATACATGACAGATAGATAGATTGATAGATAGATGATAGATAGATATATAAGATAAGTAGATAGATAGACAGACAGATACATGATAGATAGATAGACAGACAGACAGACAGACAGATAATTGCAAGGACCAGTCGTAATTCCTTTCTTTTTTAATGCAGCTGTGACTTTGAACAGTCGCTAAATGAGGACAATTTTAAGTCGAGGACTACCTATACACCTTGGCCCCCTTTTTTAAGATGCTTGATAAACAACATTGCCATAATGCACTAATTTTAGCTCCTCTACCCACCCCTTCCCCATCTCCCACTCCCCCCACCTGGTGAGGAGGGCAGGCGGGCCCTGCTTACTCGTCATGTTCTTCTCCACGTTCTTCTCCACAGCCTTGAGCTCAGCTTTGGCTACGCCAACTTGGTTCTGATTGGAGTCCTGGAGAGTGGCGATGATCCGCTGTGGGATGGAAGCAACGGGGTGCAATTAACCAAGGGGAAGAGAAGTTGCCTCCAGAAGCTGCGGGCGCTGCATCCCTGGAGGTTTTCAAGAGACTGGACAGCCACCTGTCTGGAATGGTGGAGGCCAGGGGTCAGCAACCTTGGCCCTTTTATGACTCGTGGACTTCAACTCCCAGAATTCCTGAGCCAGCATGGGGGAACTATGGCCCCCTCATGACTCATAGACTTCAACTCCCAGAATTCCTCAGCCAGCATGGGGGAACTATGGCCTCCTCATGACTCGTGGACCTCAACTCCCAGAATTCCTGAGCCAGCATGGGGGAACTATGGCCCCCTCATGACTCATAGACTTCAACTCCCAGAATTCCTCAGCCAGCATGGGGGAACTATGGCCCCTCATGACTCGTGGACCTCAACTCCCAGAATTCCTCAGCCAGCATGGGGGAACTATGGCCCCTTCATGACTCATAGACTTCAACTCCCAGAATTCCTCAGCCAGCATGGGGGAACTATGGCCCCTCATGACTCGGGACCTGAATTCCTCAGCCTTCATGGGAATTCCTCAGCCAGCATGGGGGAACTATGGCCCCTCATGACATGACTCTTCAACTCCCAACTCCCAGAATTCCTCAGCCAGCATGGGGGAACTATGGCCCCTCATGACATGGGTGGAACTCAACTCCCAGAATTCCTCAGCCAGCATGGGGGAACTATGGCCCCTCATGACTGGTGGACTTCAACTCCCAGAATTCCTCAGCCAGCATGGGGGAACTATGGCCCCTCATGACTGGTGGACTTCAACTCCCAGAATTCCTCAGCCAGCATGGGGGAACTATGGCCCCTTCATGACTGGTGGACTTCAACTCCCAGAATGCCTCAGCCAGCATGGCCCCTCATGACTGGTGGACTTCAACTCCCAGAATTCCTCAGCCAGCATGGGGGAACTATGGCCCCCTCATGACTCGTGGACTTCAACCCCCAGAATTCCTGAGCCAGCATGGGGGAACTATGGCCCCCTCATGACTTGTGGACTTCAACTCCCAGAATTCCTGAGCCAGCATGGGGGAATTTCTGCCCCCTCATGACTCATGGACTTCAACTCCCAGAATTCCTGAGCCAGCATGGGGGAACTATGGCCCCCCTCATGACTGGTGGACTCCAACTCCCAGAATTCCTGAGCCAGCATGGGGGAACTATGGCCCCCTCATGACTGGTGGACTCCAACTCCCAGAATTCCTGAGCCAGCCTGGCTCAGCTTGGAAACCTCTCCCTTTCCCCTCAGCGTGGCTGGCTTGGGAATTCTGGGAGTTGAAGTCCACCAGTCATAAAAGAGCCAAGGTTGCCTAACACTGGTGTAGGCCATATTTCAGACAAGTGACTGTCCAGTCTCTTCTTAAAAACCTCCAGGGATGGAGCACCCACACCTCATGGAGACAGGTAATTCCACAGATTAGTGAATACAATAGAGCTGGAAGGGACCTTGGAGGTCTTCTAGTCCAGCCCCCTGCTCAAGCAGGAGAACCTATACTAGTGATGGCGAACCTTTTAGAGACCAAGTGCCCCAAAACTGGACTCCACCCACCCCTACTCCACCCCCTGCCCCGTCCTGCCTCGCCCCCCCACCCCCCCGCCTGCCCACAGGACTACTCACTGCCTCCAGGGCCCGCCGCAGATCACCCACACAGTCTGCCCGTGCCCTGCAGCATCAACTGCATGATGTTGTGTGAGGACAGAGTCTTGTCTACGCTGCCTGGCTGCCATGTCCTTGGCTGCGCTGCTCTGGGTGGGCCATGCTCAGGGGTGACTCTCCTTCGGGGGGGCTGTTGGATAGGGGGTGGTGGGGGGAGGCAAGGCTGGGGCAACGGCACGTGTGCCCACAGAGAGGGCTCCGAGTGCCGCCTCTGGCACCCGTGCCATAAGTTCGCCACCACTGACCTATATCATCTCAGACAGGTGACTGTCTTAAAAATCTGCAGTGATGGAGCGCCCATTTCTGGTGGCAAGCTGTTCCACTGGTTACTTGTCCTCCCTGTTAGGAAGTTTCTCCTTCATTCCAGGTTGCTTCTCTCCTTGATCAGTTTCCATCCATTGTTTCTCATCCTTCCCTCTGGTGCTTTGGAGAATAATGTGACCCCCTCTTCATTGGGGCAGGTCCTCAGATACTGGAATACTGCTATCATGTCTCCCCTATTTTTTCTTTTCTGGCTCAGCAATTCTGGGAGTTGAAGTCCATGAGTCATGAAAGAGCCAAGGTTGCCTACCCCTGGCACTAGCCAAAGCCAAGTCCTGCAGCCGTGCTTCATATGTTTTGGTCTCCAGGCCTTGGATCATCCTAGTTGCTTAGTTGCTTAGGACTGGGGTCCCCAATCCCCGGTCCGTGGACCAGTAGCAGTCCGTGACATGCCAGCAACCGGTCCACACAAACAAGCAAAGCCCCATCCGCGACATGCAGGCAGCACACAAAACCACACACACCTCCAGTGCGCAGAAAAACATCTCTCCAGGTAACCGGTCCCTGGTGCCCAAAAGGTTTGTGACCTCTGACGTAGGACACCCTGCACTTCAGGGGTCTTCAAACTTGGCTCTTTGATGACTTGTGGACTTCAACTCCCAGAATTCCTCAGCCAGGCACGTGTGCCTGGCTGAGGAATTCTGGGAGTTGAAGTCCACAAGTCATCAAAGGGCCAAGTTTGAAGACCCCTGGTTTAGCCATATGCAGCGTTTCTCAGCCTTGTCCACTTCAAGAGGGGTGGACGTCAACTCCCAGAATTCCCCAGCCAGCAAAGCAAAAGTGGCTGAGGAATTCTGGGAGCTGAAGTCCACAAGTCATCAAAGGGCCACGTTGGAAGACTCCTTCCATACCTTGTCAGACAAATGGCTGCCTTTTCTGAACAAACAGACCAACCGACCGTTCAGGTGGGCGCCAAGCCCACCTGCTATGTGGCAGGTTGCCGTCTCCTTTGCTCTTTGTGGTGAAGGGCCCGGCTGCAGGTGGGCTCTCCGTGCCCCAAAGCCCGGCGCTGCTGGTCCGACCTGCCATCTCCCCCCCCCCCCCCGCGGCCTTAGGTACCCCAAACATGTCGTATTGCTGCAGGAGGGTTCTGGCTTGGCTGGCCGAATCGGCTTCCGTCTCCTGGATCTTCTCCATCAGCTCCTTATTCTTCTCCATCAGCGTGGAGGAATGGTGCCGCAGTTCTTCCAGGCTGGTCATCTTGCTCTTAGAAAGCCGCTAAGGGGGGTGGGGGGAGAGTTGCAACAGGGGTTCTCGGTCTTTGCCACTTTAAAAACGTATGGATTTCAACTCCCAGAATTCTGGGAATGGCAATCCAGCCCCCTTAAAGTTGTCCACGTTAAGGACGACTGGATGACCAAAGGGCTCCACTCCATCCTGATTGGCAATCAGAGGGAAGGAGACTCCAGTCCTAGAATGGTGCAATCCCACCTTCCTTCCTTCTTTCCTCCTCCCTCCCTCCCTCCCTCCTTCCTTCCTTCCTTCCAGATCAAGCTTCCTACCTAGCTTCTTCCTTCCTTCCTTCCTTCCTTCCTTTTTTCCTTCCTTCTTTCCTTTCAAATCAACCTTCCTAACTAGCTTCCTCCCTCCCTCCCTCCCTTCCTTCCTTCTCCCCTCCTCCCTCCCTCCCCCTTCCTTCCTTCCTTCCTTCCTTCCTTCCTTCCTTCCTTCCTTCCTTCCTACCTAGTTTCCTCCTTCCTTCCTTCCTTCCTTCCTTCCTTCCTTCCTTCCTTCTCCCCTCCTCCCTCCCTCCCCCTTCCTTCCTTCCTTCCTTCCTTCCTTCCTTCCTTCCTTCCTACCTAGTTTCCTCCTTCCTTCCTTCCTTCCTTCCTTCCTTCCTTCCTTCCTTTTCTTCCTTCTCCCTTCCTCCCTCCCTCCCTCCTTCCTTCTTTCCTTCCTTCCTTTGCTTCCAGATCAACATTCCTACCTAACTTCTTCCTTCCTTCCTTCCTTCCTTCCTTCCTTCCTTCCTTCCTTCCTTCCTTCCTTCCTTTCTCCCTCCCTCCCTCCCTCCCTCCCTCCCTCCTTCCCCTTTCTTTCCTTCCTTCCTCCTTCCCTCTCCCCCTCCTTCCTTCCTCAAGATCAACCTTCCTACCTAGCTTCCTCCTTCCTTCCTTTTCTTCCTTCTCCCCTCCTCCCTCCCTCCCTCCCTCCTTCCTTCTTCCTTCCTTCCTTCCTTCCTTCCTTCCTTCCTTCCTTCCTTCCTTCCTTCCTTCCTTCCTTCCTTCCTTTCCTTCCAGATCAACATTCCTACCTCCTTCCTTTCTTCCTCCTTCCCTCCCTTCTCCCCTTCTTTCCTTCCTTCCTCCCTCCCTCCCTCCCTCCCTCCCTCCTTCCTTCCTCAAGATCAACCTTTCTTTTTTCCTCCCTCTCCTACCTTTCTAAACCCGCCCATCTCAGCCAAGTGGTTCTGAGTGGCTTACAATTCTAAAACCCCGGTTTCTCCAGGTGTTAACCCTTTGCACCTTCCTTTCAGAACATAAGGGGGTCCAATCCCCAAATCTGAGGTTCTGCTCTGAAACCCCAGGGGAACACCATGTGAATCTGGATTCTCCCCCCCCCCCAGCAGCCATTAGTGGGGCCCATGTGAGACACCCTCAGCCCTGTTTCCAGGAGCTCTTCGCTTCCGGTACCTGCAGGATTTTGATGTTGGCCTTGGCCATCTCCTCGGTCAGGGCTTGGTGCCAACCCACCTTGTGCCTCATGGAGGGGGTGGCTCTCAAGGCCAGGGCCCAGGCCTTGCGGTCCTCTAGGAACAGAAGAGAAAGGGGGGGGACACACCTGAGGCTGCTGCTCTGGTTAGACTGCCTACAGCAGGTCAGAGGAGGCAGCCAGAATAGATTCTGCACCAAACATTGGAGAGCAAAAGTTGTGTCTAGCAGGGAAGGCACCAGGCTAGAATCCAGGAGGTTGGGAGTTCTAGTCCTGCCTTAGGTATAAAGGCCAGCTGGGTGATTTTGGCCAATCACCAGGAGGCTATGAGATAATTTCTATCTGTCTATCTTTTTCCTTCCTGCCTGCCTGCCTTCCTACCTTCCTTCCTCTTCCCTTTCTTTCTTTCTTTCTTTCTTTCTTTCTTTCTTTCTTTCTTTCTTTCTTTCTTTCTTTTTTCTTTCTTTCTTTCTTTCTCTTTCTTTTCTTTCTTTTTGTCTTTTTCTTTCTTTCTTTTTGTCTTTCTTTCCCTTCCTTCCTTCTTTCCTTTTTTCCCTCCCTCCCTCCCTGCCTTCCCTTTCTTTCTTTCTTTCTTTCTCTTTCTTTTTGTCTTTTCCTTCCTTCCTTCCTTCTTTCCCTCCCTCTCTTTCTTTCTTTCTTTTTCTTTCTTTCTTTCTTTTCCTTCTTTCCTTCCTTCCTTCCAGTGTTGATACCACTTTACAATGCCTTTGTAAGGCCACACTTGGAATACGGCATCCAGTTTTGGTCACCACGATGTAAAAAAGATGTTGAGACTATAGAAAGAGTACAGAGAAGAGCAACAAAGATGATTAGGGACTGGAGGCTATAGCATATAAGCAACAGCTGCTGGAATTGGGTATATCTATTTAATGAAGAGAAGGACGAGGGGGGACAGGATAGCAGCCTTCCACTATCTCAGGGGCTGCCCCAAAGAAGAGGGAGTCAAGCTGTTCTGAAGGCAGGACAAGAAGCAACGGGTGGAAACTAAGCAAGGAGAGAACCAACCTAGAACTAAGGAGAAACTTCCTGACAGTGAGAATAATTAACTAGTGGAACAACCTGCCCCAAGAAGCAGTGAATGCTCCAACAGTGGAAGCTTTTAAGAAGAGACTGGACAGCCATTTTTCTGACATGGTATAGGTTTCCTGCCTGAGCAAGGGGGTCGGACTAGAAGACCTCTAAGGTCCCTTCCAACTCTGTCATTCCATATTCTATATTCCCTTTTCTTCTTTCCCTTTCTCTCTCTCTCTCCCTCTCTCCTGCATTTTCCTAGGCAGAACATCAGCAGTGCCAGGCCCTTGCCTTCTTCCTGAACTGAGAGAAAAGCAACTGGTCCAAAATCACCCAGCTTGCTTCGGGAGTTTAAGGCAGGATTCGCACTCAGGTTCCTCTGCTCCACTAAACCAGGGGTAGGCAACCTCGGCTCTTTTATGACTGGTGGACTTCAACTCCCAGAATTCCTCAGCCAGCATGGCTCAGCTTGGAAACCTCTCCCTTTCCCCTCAGCACGGTTGGCTCAGGAATTCTGGGAGTTGAAGTCCACCAGTCATAAAAGAGCCAAGGTTGCCGACCCCTGCCCAAATGCCTGAATTTTGATCACGTGACCGTGACGGAAAAATATTTAAATATTTAAACCAGGGGCCTTCAAACTTGGCCCTTTTAGGACTCGTGGGCTCCAACTCCCAGAATTCCTGAGCCAGCATGGGGGACCTATGGCCCCCTCATGACTCGTGGACCTCAACTCCCAGAATTCCTGAGCCAGCATGGGGGAACTATGGCCCCCTCATGACTCGTGGACTTCAACTCCCAGAATTCCTGAGCCAGCATGGGGGAACTATGGCCCCCTCATGACTCGTGTCAACTCCCAGAATTCCTGAGCCAGCATTGGCCCCTCATGACTGGACTTCAGAATTCCTGAGCCAGCATGGGGGAACTATGGCCCCCTCATGACTCGTGGACTTCAACTCCCAGAATTCCTGAGCCAGCATGGGGGAACTATGGCCCCCTCATGACTGGTGGACTTCAACTCCCAGAATTCCTGAGCCAGCATGGCTCAACTTGGAAACCTCCCTTTCCCCTCAGCATGGCTGGCTGAGGAATTCTGGGAGTTGAAGTCCACCAGGCATAAAAGAGCCCAGGTGGCCTACCGCTGCACTAAACCAAACTAGCCCTCCTTCCCCTATTCAGAAAAAGCCTCTTGTTTTTATTTACAGGAAGAAACCAGTCCTTCCCTTTCTTCCTTGTGTCGGGGAGAACCGAAAGTTTGAAGATGCTTTCTACCCAGCACCTTCTATCCTTCATAAACCCGGACTTTCTGAGTATCTCTGAGTGGCCTTCTTTTCACTAAGCCACACCAACTCTACCAAAAAAGAAACATTGGAAATGTGGGGTTTTTTTTCCTCCTCCCTCCCCCACCTTGCAGGCCAGACTACGTCAGCCAAACTTGTTTTTTTCCCACCTGATCTTTTGGGTTGTATCTTCTGCAGGAATTTCTTTCCCTCCTTCTTCATCCCGGGAGGCGGCGCGGGGGGCAGGAATAATCTTAATTTGGGTCTTCTTGGCATCGCTTCTCTTTCCCATTGGCTGTAATCCTAAAGGGCGCAGGAGAAAGAAGGAAGTGGGCAGAACGGCACATGAGGAGGATAAATGATTTTGAGATCTATTTTATAGATCTCTCTCTTCTCCATACCTTCCCCCCACCCCTTACAATGTGTGTTGTTGTATACACAAATGCCCCCAAGGGCCCAATTATGCCATGTCTGTACGAACAAGAATATTTGTAGTTCCAGGTTGAATTGAGGGTTCCTTGGTGCTCTATGAGCTTGGCTGTTTTCTAGCAGCAGACGTTTCATTTCCCAAACTAGTAAAACTGATGATGTTACCTAGTTGGGTCATGAAATGTCTGCAAGAAAAAAAGCCAGCTCAGAGAGCACCAAGGATCCCACAGTCCTCCTCCTCCTCCTCCTCCTCCCCCTTCTAGCACTGATGACATTACCTAGTTGGGTTATGAAATGTCTGCAAGAAAAGAACCAGCTCAGAGAGCACCAAGGACCCCACGGTCATTATTCCTCCTCCTCCTCCCTCCCTCCCTCCCTTCTAGCACTGATGACGTTACCTAGTTGGGTCATGAAATGTCTGCAAGAAAAGAACCCAGAGAGCACCAAGGACCCCACAGTCATTCTTCCTCCTCCTCCCCCTCCCCCTTCTAGCACTGATGATGTTACCTAGTTGGGTCATGAAATGTCTGCAAGAAAAAAAGCCAGCTCAGAGAGCACCAAGGATCCCACAGTCCTCCTCCTCCTCCCCCTTCTAGCACTGATGACGTTACCTAGTTGGGTCGTGAAATGTCTGCAAAAAAAGAACCAGCTCAGAGAGGATCCCACAGTCATTCCTCCTCCTCCTCCTCCCCCTCCCCCCCCTTTTAGCACTGATGACGTTACCTAGTTGGGTCATGAAATGTCTGCAAGAAAAGAACCAGCTCAGAGAGCACCAAGGACCCCACAGTCATTATTCCTCCTCCTCCTCCCCCCTTCTAGCACTGATGACGTTACCTGGTTGGGTCATGAAATGTCTGCAAGAAAAGAAGCCAACTCAGAGAGCACCAAGGACCCCAGCCATATCTATACTCCTATTATATCTTTGAGAAATAATTGCTGAAAACAACCTTGTCATCCATGGAAATACTATTCCGTTTGACATGGAAAGCCAATTCCCTCCGACAATCTCCTGTTTCAACATACATATTTCTTTTTAGGTAAAGATAATCATATGAATTTGTGCACAGCTGTCCCATTTTGTTACCTAGTCAGTCAAGAATACATGCTTTGGATCTTTTTTTTTTTTAACCATACTGCTTTCTTTGGCAAAATAGTCTTTCCCCCTGCCTGCGGAACTCACCGTTTGGTTTAAGGAACCAATAAAACTCCTGGGAAACAAATTGGGATTCCTAGCTGACATTTTTAAAGCCGGGGAAAAGCCGGGGAAGAGAGAAGGCCAGCACCTGGAGGGACGAAGAATTATATGTATATAAAAGAAGAAGAAATATAGGTCAATATTGGAAGAAAGATTCATTGCCTACTATAGAAGAATGGACACTTAAGGTTTCTAATTTAGCAGAAATGGCAAAAATTTCTGCTTATTTAAAGGATCATACACAGAAAGATATATTATTGTATGGAGAAGATGGATAGATTATATTCAGATTAAATATGGAACTAAAAAGTTCCATTTATTTTATGATTAAATTTTAAATAATAATTATTATTAATAGCATTTTACAATGGAAATTATTTAGTTTATTTATTGTTATTATGGTACTTTATAATAATTGTTTTAAAATGGATTTGTTTATAATATTATGATGTTAAATTTTAAAGGGAGTTAAGGGTTAAGTATGAATTTGGTTACTGTATAATTTGTTAAAGTTAATTAGATTTTGTTTAATACAGTGGTTCTCAACCTTTTTAATGCCACGACCCCCCAACCGGTCATAAGTTGAGGACTACTCAACCGGTCGTAAGTCGAAGACTACCCAACTGGTGCAGCACTGTTTGCAGAATGGGACTTTTGGCGGGCTCAGCAGGGCAGAGACAGCCTGGACAATTCCTATTGGCTTTTGAAAGCCAATAGAATTAGACTCTATTCAAGAGAGTCGATTCTATTGGTTTTCAAAAGCCAATAGAAGAAAAGGGAGGAGCACAGCTAAGGAAAAGGGGAAAAAAATGGCGGACTGCGTTGTTTGGCGACCCCCGTGAAATGGTCGTTCGACCCCAAATGGGGTCCCGACCCACAGGTTGAGAACCACTGGTTTAATATGTTTGTAATAACCCTGTACTCGGCTCTGGGAAGTAGGGGGAGGGTAGGGGGGTGGGGGTGGGTGGGTTTGGGGGTTAAAAATTTTTGTTAATTGTTAATAAAACTTTTTCAATAAAAAAAGAAGAAATAGACAGAGGGAGAGACAGGAAGATCCGTTACGGTCTTGCAAAATGTGGCGTTCTTTTCTTTGCAAAACGAAACATTTAAATAAAAGCAGAGGAAAAAATAGCTTTTACTGGAGGAGCAAAAGGCTTCCAGGAAAAGGCACCCAGTAAGTGATTTGAAATAATGTTTGGGGGTACACGGAATGGGTGAGATCGCCTACCGACCTCCAGCCATTGTTTTATTATCTTAATACTGTTTGTGATGGAATATTTATATGCTGCCCCACCTTTCCAGCTTCAAGAACGTTTCCAATAATACAGCAAGTAAGTGTGTTTTTAACTTTTGTAGGCTGCTCACAGACACATACAAGAGATGGGCGGAAATACACACAGACACACACAAACACACACACAAAGTATATTCAAATAAAGTGAATATACATATATACAGTCACTTATTTATTTGAACATATATGTATCTCAAATAAATAAGTGAACTAACCCTCTATACATACTGCTCTCTTTTAATTCATATTGCTGTAATTTTTTATTATTTCATTGTTTTACTGTTATTATATTGATATCTTTTTATAATTTTAGGTTCTACTGTTGTAAGTCATCCTGAGTAGCCCCATAGTGAGACGAGCAGCAAATACATTTAATAATAAATAAAATATTATTTTACTTAGTGTACTTCTGAAGCGATAAAAGACCCCCAAAAGGCGGTTGCAATCCCCAAGGAAGGGGCACCCCACAGTCTCATCTCTTCCTTCCCCCCAATAGTCCCCCCAAGCAATTTGAAAAATAGGGTTTGTTTTGTTTTGTTTTGTTTTTGGGTGGTGGATAAGCTGCCCAAAGTCATGTCTAATTAAAATAAATTATATTAAATTTAAATTAAAAAAAACACAAATCCTTGGAAGGGAGGAAGCCAAAGCCCCCCTCCCCTCCCATTTGGGCTCCAGTCCCAAGCCAAAGACAGGAGCACCAACGTGAGCCAGGATTTTATTCCAGGTATATTGATTTTATTAAATTAGGAGACATGTTAATATGCATAGCTAACCCATGTATGATATGCCATATGCATAAAATAATATAAAATAAAATATAAAAAATAAAATAATAAATATAAAATAATAAAATAAAATAAAACAAAATAAAATATAAAATAAAATAATAAAATAAAATAAAATAATAAAATAAAATAAAACAAAATAAAATATAAAATAAAATAAAATAATAAAATAAAATAAAACAAAATAAAATATAAAATAAAATAAAATAATAAAATAAAATAATAAAATAAAATAAAATAATAAAATAAAAATTAAAATGTTTTAGGGCTTGGTCTCAATTTAGAGCCCCCCCCCTCCCTCAGCACGGAGGACCTAGGGGACGCAGCAGCCACTACCCGGAAACGGCTGCTTTCCAGGGGTAGACTGCGCCCGTCCCTGGAGGCTCCATTTAAGATGAGCAGCTCCTTCTCTCCCGCCTCCTTTCCCCTTTACCTGCTTCGCGCGCGCGCGTGTGCGTCTTCCCGTCTCCTAGCAACGCGCCCCGGCGCGCGCGCTGATCTCCATGGCGACCGGGAGGGCCTACGGCAACCTACCAGACCCAAGCGCCGCCGCCCTTCGCTCTGCTGTGACGCAGGCAACTGCCTCCGTCGTCCCCGCCCCTTGATGACGTTCCCAACGCCCGTTTCGGTTCATTCGCCGCGACCCTTGCCGCGAAAGCCCCGCTTGCGCGTGCGCAGTGGCGGTCTTTCGCGGGACCGCCTTCGCTGGCTGCGCCGCCTCTATCGCCAACCTGGCGCCCCCTCCCAAATGGGTTGACTTACGTCTCCCGTCAGTGGCTCTCTGGACTATTGATTGCAGTTGTAGAACGATATATTTGCCACCTTAGGGAAAGGCCACCTAGGGTGCAGCCTCTACTGAATCTTGGGTGAATAAGCTAAAAAGAGTTGGATAGGAGACCACGAGGAAATCTCAGGGGAAGGCAGAATGGAAAATATGCTCTCGGGAGGAGCAGCAGGTTTCACATTGAAATCAAGGAAGGCTCCTCTTCACCTTTGGATAGGAAAAGTGGAGATGGTTGATAAATTTGGCGACTTTAAGACTTGTGGACTTCCAACTCCCAGAATTCATTTAGAACATGGAATAATAGAGTTTGAAGGCACCTTAGAGGTCTTCCAGTCTAACCCCTGCTCAAGCAAACTATCCTATACCAGTGGTTCTCAACCTTTTTAATGCTGGGATCCCCAACCAGTCATAAGTCGAGGACTACTCAACCGGTCGTAAGTCGAGGACTACTCAACTGGTGCAGCATCGTTTGCAGAATGGGACTTTTGGCGGGCTCAGCAGGGCAGAGACAACCTGGACAATTCCCATTAGCTTTTGAAAGCCAATAGAATTAGACCAGCGGTTTTCAACCTATGGGTCGTGACCCCATTTGGGGTCGATCGACCACTTTTCGGGGGTCGCCAAAGGCGGCGATCCGCCATTTTGTCCCCTCTGGGGGCGGCGGCGCGCCTCCAGGGGGCGGCGCCACGCATGCGCACTGCGCATGGGGGCGGCGGCGCGCCTCCGGGGGGCGCTGCCGCGCATGCGCGCCGCACGCAGGGGGCGCCCCCATGCGCAGCACGCATGCGCATAATGTTTGTGTGACGGGGGTTGCCGTCACACAAACATTGAGAACCGCTGAATTAGACTCTATTCAAGAGAGTCTATTCTATTGGCTTTCAAAAGCCAATAGAATAAAAGGGAGTAGCACAGCTAAGGAAAAGGGGGAAAAAATGGCAGACTGCGTTGTTTGGCGATCCCCGTGAAATGGTCGTTTGACTCCAAATGGGGTCCCGACCCACAGGTTGAGAACCACTGTCCTATACAAACATTAGCCACTTTGAGACACGTAGACTTCAACTCCCAGAATTCCCCAGCCAGCCATGCTGAGTGGGGGACTCTGGGTCCACGAGTCTTAAAAGTTGCCAAATTGGGAGATCCCTGAAGAGAAAGAAAATCCCATCTCCCTCACACCTACATCCTACTCCCTCCCTCCCCATCTTTTAACCATAATTTTTGACTATAATTCTATTTTTATTGCTTTTAGAAATATTTATCGTTTATAGTTTTATCGTCGTTAATATTGTAAGCCGCCCAGAGTCGCTTCAAAGCAAGATGAGCAGCGAACTAATGCAATCCATAAGTAATTAAGTAAATCAATAAAAGTGGAACCCCAATGGTTGCCTTGAAGCTCAGACACCCCAAGTTTGGCATGGAGCTAATAAGTGGATCCCTGAATTTGACCTTTGCAAAGGGGTTTATTTGCCCAGGCCAAAATACAAACCACCAAGTAATTCATGCAAAATACAAGCATTTATTAAGGGAAGTCTTTAGGGTTGTTGTTGTTGTTAATTGCGAAGTCGTGTCCGACCCATCGCGACCCCATGGACAACGTTCCTCCAGGTCTTCCTGTCCTCTACCATCTTCTGGAGTCCATTTAAATTCACACTGGAGTCCATTTAAATTCATACTTTGGGGTACAGAAGCCAAAGATATGAGCTAGAAAACAACACATCAAATAATAAGCTGACATTAATTAGGTGTAAAGAAAGACAGTCATCCTTAAAATATTTTGCATTTTCCCCTTTCACATCTGGGCTTGTTTCTTTAACAACACTCAAGGACTCCAGGATAGCCTCCCTATTGTTTAGTTTATGAATAGGCTAGTTTTTGCATATTAAAGAAAGAAAATGGTTTGGCTGAAAAAGAAAACATGGTTTCCTGAACTTCAAAAGGAGGCCTCAGATGCCTTGCTAAAATGCTAATATCTCCTTTATTTAATGGCTATTAAAAAAAACCTCCCTTTTTACAACCCTGTAATTAGGGATAATAATGAAGCCTGAAATTCAAGGAGCAAGATGATCTTGTTATATACCACATCTTTGAAAGGTGACGATCTTCTGGTGAAAAAGAAGAGAGTGGAAATAAAAAGAAGGTGGGAAGAAAAGGATTTAGCTTTTTAATCATCTGCTTTGATGGAACATAAAATAATAGCGTTGGAAAGGGACCCTGGAGGTCTTCTAGTCCAGCCCCTCTGCTTGAGCAGGAGAGCTTATACCATTTCAGACAAATGTGTGTCCAGTCTCTTCTTAAAAACTTCCAGTGTTGGCGCATTCACCGCTTCTGGAGGCAGGTTGTTCCATTGGTTAATTGTTCTCACTATCAGGAAATTCCTCCTTAGTTCAGGTTGCTTCTCTCCTTGGTTAGTTTCTCCATCTGTTGCTTATTCTCCTGCCTTCAGGCGCTTTGGAGAATAGCTTGACTCCCTCTTCTTTGGGGCAGACCCTGAGATACTGGAAGGCTGCTGTTATGTCAACCTAGCACTTCTTTTCATTAAACTAGACATACCCAGTTCCTGCACCTGTTAATCATATGTTTAGCCTCCAGTCCCCTTAGCAGAGGAGGAGTCTTTGTATTGAGATATTAAAGCAGTTTGAGGGGACAACCTTACATTGAGATGCTAAGGCAGTTTGGACAAGCCAGGAAATGTCTGCTTGCAAGCTTGCTTGGTCAACTCAGATGATTCTTATTGTTATGCAGATCTGCTCCACAGGAAGGCCAAAACTTGAGATTGGCTATGATAAACGACGCTGGCAGGTCAGATTTGGCTGAATAAATTTCCTCTTCCTCCTCCTCCCCCTCCTCCTCCTTCTCCATAAAATTAAGACTAAACTAATCAAAGAGAGGAGCAAACTAGAACTATGGAGAAATTTCCTGACAGTGAGAACATTTAACCAGTGGAACAGCTTGCCTCCAGAAGTTGTGGGGGCTCCATCACTGAGAACTACGTATGCAAACTTTCAGAATTCCATATCTGGAGGTCGGCAAAACTTAACAGAAAAGAGAAACTGGCTATTGAAGTTAAATTGTCATTTTGGGTACCACTGTGCTTAGAAGCCTAAGTCAATGATGTAGCTGTGCAATCACGACCTCTTCAAATTTCCTCCCTGAGATGATGATGATGATGATAATAATTAATTAATAACAATTGTATAAGAAAGACAAAAAAAGTCTGGATAGTGGATGTGGCAGTGCCTGGAGACAGCAGAATAGAGGAGAAAGAACTGGAGAAGAGAACAAAATACAAAGACCTACAAATAGAAATAGAAAGAATGTGGCAAAGGCAAGCAAGGGTAGTACCAATAGTCATAGGCGCCATGGGTGCAATCCCAAAACAACTGGAGCACCACTTGAACACCATCGGCATTGACAAATTTGCCATTAGTCAATTGCAAAAGGCGGCCTTACTAGGAACTGCTTCCATCCTGCGACGATATCTGTAATACCATCAACATCCACATCTGCCCATCCTACGTCTTTGGGAAGGACTCGATAGACAAAAATGCCAAATCCATCTGGCTGACTATGTGGTGATCCATAATAATAATAATAATAATAATAATAATAATAATAATAATAATAATAATACACTGAAGTCAAGAAAAAGATTAGAGGTGAATACATCAAGAGAGTGAAGAAGATCTTAAAGTCCAAACTCAATGGAGGAAATACCATAAAGGCAATCAACACCTGGGCAATCCCAGTCATTAGGTACACAGCTGGAATAGTGGACTGGACTCAAGCAAAACTAAAAGCAATGGATAGGCAGACCAGAAAAATAATGACAATGAATCATGCCCTTCATCCACGCAGTGACATTGATAGACTTTATCTACCCAGGCAAATAGGTGGGCGTGGAATGCTACAAGTACATCAGATGGTTGAAGAAGAAAAAATGGCTTTGGAAGAATATCTGAAGAACAATGATGAAGATGCACTGAAATTAGTATATCATGAAGGCTTACTAACTACTGGAGAGACCAAACTGGCCTACAAGAAAGACCAAATGAAGAACAGAATAGAGGCATGGGAAGACAAAGCACTACATTGCCAATACATGAAAAAAATAGCTGGGAAAGCAGATAATAACAAGACCTGGCAATGGCTAAGAGCAGGAAAATTGAAGAAAGAGACCGAGGGACTAATTCTGGCTGCACAAGACCAAGCCTTAAGGACAAATGCATACAAATTCAAAATTGAGAAGACAGCAAAAGACAGTAAGTGCCGCCTATGCAAAGAAGCTGAAGAAACAGTGGACCACTTGGTAAGCTGTTGCAAGAAGATTGCACAGACTGATTACAAGCAGCGCATGACAAAGTAGCAACAATGGTGCATTGGAAGATCTGCAAAAAATATCATTTGCCTGTAAGCAAAAACTGGTGGGATCATAAAATAGAGAAAGTCATAGAAAATTATAAAATTAAACTGCTCTGGGACTTCAGAATTCAAACAGACAAGCACCTGCAACATAACCCCCCAGACTTAACAATTGTCGATAAGAAAGACAAAAAAGTCTGGATAGTGGACGTGGCAGTGCCTGGAGATAGCAGAATAGAAGAGAAAGAACTGGAGAAGATAACAAAATACAAAGACCTACAAATAGAAATAGAAAGACTGTGGCAAAAGCAAGCCAGGGTAGTACCAATAGTAATAGGCTCCTTGGGTGCAATCCCAAAACAACTGGAGCACCACTTGAACACCATTGGCATTGACAAATTCGCTATTAGTCAATTGCAAAAGGCAGCCTTACTAGGAACTGCTTCCATC